CACATGATTATCATACAGATTTAGCTATTTAACCAATTGTATTCATATGACTTCTCGCTCTCTCTCTCTCTCTACCTTCTTGTATGTGAAACAGAAACAATAAGAAATGTGCAAACATATGTAGGTGATGATTGTGATTTTGCAGCGTGTAACAACATTAAAGTTGAAAAGCTGATGTAAGACAGAACATAAGTATTTTTCTTTTGCATATTTGCCGCTTTTCCGTCCGTACACTGGCCTCATTATCATCCATTTCATCTTGCCTTTTTTCTTGTTCAATTCTGAAATGAACAATTGATTGAGATAGTGATGTTTGGCCGGTAGTACTTCCAGGAGAAACGAAAGACAGTGCTATAATAGATGATTCTAATCTTGGAATTTGACATTGTTTTACGAATGTGTTTCGACACAAAGCATAAAAAAACACCAAATGAATGTCATTTCGTCAAATGTGTGAATGCTATTTTGACTGTATGCAATGCAGAAATGAACGAAGAAAAGTACGCGCGAGAAGATAGCGGTATATAAAAAAAATCAACAAACGAACTATATTAAAGGGAATTACTGCATATTTATGCTTGCAGCACTATCAAGGGTGGAAGCGGCCTGTGTACACTTCACTTTCCTATTTGTTCGTTCGCATTGTTTGGGTTTTTGTCCCCGCACTTGCATCAAATGTTTTGTTCATACAAAGCGCGTTGACAAAACAAAGACCAAATGGGCACACGAAACAATAACGACTCTGGGGTGCCTACATAGCCAACCGACTCTACAATTCCAAACTGAAAAATATCGTTCGGTTTCGACATTTAGCCGCACTTTAATAAATTTTCAAAGCAACGACTTACAAACTGGTTATAACGACCACTAGGCAAATGGTGAAAATCAGTTTTCTTTCTGTTCATTCCGTACCTACTTATTCATGGTTGAAAAACGGTATATGAATACAAATGTGTCAGCACAAAGTCACAGAAATAAACTGACTGAAATATATATATGGCACAAAAGATGATTCCGTTTCTTATTTCTTGTTGAAAATGTGTGTATGTGTGTGAGCGTGTATATGCGTGCGCTTGTTTCATTAAATGAGTTATGAGGTCATAGACTTTCATTTATGTTTGCTGGCTTTTGTAAATGAAAACATTTTCCGATTCCGTGTATATTTATTGGCCATTCTGATGCATGCAAAGAATGCGGAAACCTATCACCACCGATTAAATGACATAAGAATAACACATAGCGTGCAGAAATATTTGTGAGTTTTTAAGTAAGCGGTATCGTATTACATCCGATTTTACCGTATAATCGCACACATACTCGGTCGTAAAAGACCGGCTGATTTGAATTTTAACGGGCCATTTGAAAGTATTTCTTAATTTGCTTAAATTATGGACATTTCAAAATACAGCTGAGTCAAGTTTCCATGTATGGAATTTCAACTATGTTGAACGTGGCCCCGTTGATTAAACCAACAATTTTTCATTCGGTTTAATGCGTAAATAATTAATGGGCGCGCAAATATTTCAAGATGGTTTGGGCATTGAGGTATTTTTCAATTTCCGATGACATTTCTTCAATTTGCTTCGAATCGGGAGAAAATGTCACCTCTCATATCCGTTTGAGGCAGGGAAACCTTATACGCAAATGTATATCCCCTATTTCGATTTTAAATAATAAAATGACTATTAGTTTTCATAATTGTAAATTGCGTTGATTCGACTTTTTAAAGAAGAAATAAAACGTCGTTTTCTGTTAATTACCCTGAACCTGTGTCTATGGGGTCTATGTTTTCATTTTATATTCATCGAACAAAATGCTATTATAAAACCGATGTTGCTCGTTAATATTTCATGACAAAAGTAACGCGTAATCATTACCTGTCAGCCCTTATCATCCAGTCATTTGAATGCCATCCATGTATAAAATGTGTTTTTGCTATATTATTTCTGGTTTGGTGTGCCGCATTTAAAAAAAGAACTACCAATGCTTTAGTGCTTCGAACATAGTTTGGCAACTAAAATTGGTTCATTTTCTTCTGTTCTTTGTCTTTTGGTGCCGAAACAAATTGTGATATTCCATCTATTCGACGCAAGCAAATTGGCACTGAATAAACATAAACAAATGATCCAATTGAAAATGACAATGTAAATAAGCTGTTTAGTTTAATAGCAAAACCAAACGCTGAAGATAAATTGCAACGATATAATAATTCGAAATGTAAACAATTGAAAGCAATCAAATTGTCTACCGAAGTGAGCTGAACTCATCGCCGTTCTATTCCGGTTCTATTCAGTACGTTCGGTTTTTTTTATGTTTCAATTTTTTTTTTGGGGAAAGTATCAACACTCATACAAATTTATTATTAGTCGTCAACTCGAATTCATGTTCATTTTTCTCGAGCTTCAAATGCTATGTACACACTTTTGTATGAAGCTCATTATTCAATTTTGAGCAAGCTATTTAATCCATTTTGAAATGATGGCGAACTGAGTGAATTGCTCTCATTCGTGCGCTTATTCGTTTATTTTCGATACACTTGCCACTGTTGATATATTTCAGCGTGAATTTGGTGTATTTGTAGATGTGTGTGTGTTTTTCAATTCAAATTTTTGGGGGTTAAGTTTTTCAGCAGAAGCAGCAGCACGAAAAAATAAAATTATAAGGGCGGTGAACTGTTTGGCTGTGATGACGATAACGACGACTACGAATTTATCGACAAAGAAACCGTACTAAAAATGCTAAAGCAATGAAATGAACTCATATCTCAACAAAATCTACCCTTCGTGCATCGCATCACAACACACGCCGCCACAACTTTGGAATTTTTTTTCTCTCCTTGTTCTTCTATTTTTCGAGAATTTTTGTATTACGATTTGCAACGCATAAGGTTTCAAACGCACCAACACATTTGCCACAAGCTGTATGTGTGTATGTGTGTGTGTTTATATATATTCTCATTTTTCCGGCATGTTTGCAATGCAAAGCATAATCGGTAGGCTATTTGCTAGTTCTATAACATTCTCTTTAGCTTTATGCACTAGCACTTAAAACATTTTGCACGATAACCGCTATCAAAGTCAGTGTGAGAAAAACAGAATAGAATGAATAGAATTCAAAGTGCACAAGGACTTGATGGGAAGAGAGAGAAAGAAAAGCCGGACATAAAATGGAATATCAACGGGGAGAGCACACAAAAAAATTATAGAAAAACATCCAAAGTGAAAAGAATGTGATGAAAAAAAGAGAATTTTTTATGGTAAACATATACAATTATTTTTGTTATGTTCTCACTCCCCGAGAGCCTGGCGCTTGAGTATTGATCATCAAAGCGATGTCTTTCACAATGATTCACCCCTCACTCACACACACACACACACTCACATAAACATACACATCTACTAACACACATACATCGACAGAATCGGTTTGCTGCCTTGGTAATATTAATGAAGTAAAGACCGTGTGGTGAATACTCTCTATAGTAACGTAACGTGCATTCAAACCATTTTCACAGTTCGCCGATGATTTTCATCCATAGCTTGTATATTTGAAAAAGAGAGATGCCCATTAATTCACTTCTTGCACTGGCTGTGGCCGTGGGTGTGTGTGTGCTGTTGCTGGTGCTGATTCTGTTATTGCTGTTGCGCTTGGTTCGCCTGCTGATGAATCAGATGTCTTCGACGCTTGCAATTTTCTTCGCATATATATATAAAACGAATAGCGAATAAAAGTAATAAATAGCTCACAATTCATACGTAAACTACACATATGCGCCATTTTTGTAAAAAGTTTTCTCACTTTATCTCGATCCAGTCTATATGGCCATTTCCATCTCTCACACTTGGTTTTGGTTAGTCGTTTGGCTTTGGATTCGTTATTATGCACAGGAATTGTGTAATATAGTCGATTTTACGATAAGGATGCACACTCCACCGCCTGCTAAATATATCATGCTCAAATTGAACTCAAACTGCCATTTACATTCGGCTACATACGAGATATGCACAAACAATTTTTACGGTTGGTCATAAACAACAACACACGGAGCGACCCAAACACAAACACACACAGACAGAGACAGACATCGAGAGATAGATTGGATGGTTTGAGTGAAAAAAAAATCAAAACGAATGCAATTCTCACGTGAGGATTTTCCAAAATTGCTGAAATCATCAACATATACGAATATCATGAAAACGTGGTTGACGTGCAATTTCAGTGATTTTTCCAAAAATATCGTAGCATTTGAACTAAATATGAAATAAAATAATCGATTTTTCGTTAGCTCGGTGGACCTGTACAGCTTAAGGGGTTTCTATCTTTGGCCAATCGAAATAGAATTTTGAATCGCATTCAGAAATAAATATAAATTAGTAGAAAAACTCTTAAACAATTGAATGAAAATTGCAGCAAATGATTACAATAGCAGTTTTGGGGCGGTCACCGCTTCTCCGAATTCAACCACTGACGCGCATTTATTTGATATCTCTCTCTCTCTCTATCTCACGCTCTCATCATAAAAAAACGTTCGTAGTCCATTTTTTGCGGTCCGATTAAACCGATTTAATACATAATTGAGTTTACAATTTTGCGAGTAACGTATGCTTGATAAAGTGTTTCAATATAAACAGTGTAATCGATAAATGTGAATATGACGTGTTAAATCGCCATCAAAAAGGATGAAGTGCAATTGGTTAGTATGCTTGATTTGTCCGGTGATAAAAATGTAAGTGCGAAAAACTCTCAGTAATCTCTCTTGTCGGCATTGGCCATGTTTGAGACTCTATAAACACACTCACCAGAAGCAACGGGATTATTATATATGCCTCTGTGTATACAATTTAACGAAAATGTTTGCCCACTTGCAATTTCTGAGTGCGAAATCGAATGAGGCGAATGAAAATCAAACGATGAGAAAAAATCCTAGTGTTTTTCCATTTTCTTCTCGTAAACTGAGAATGGAGAGAAAATGTACGAAATTTTATGGGTTATATACTTACCATTTTGTGGTCCTGCATAAGCAATAACAAGTGCCGTTCCCAAAAGAGCAGCTAAAACGATTGCGGTAACACAGAGTGCACGTTTCTGTGAACAAACCGCAACACCGTTACGTGTTTGCCGACCACCGCTACTATCACCGCCTGCAAATTCAAGATGTTTAATAATTTAGCAAACAGATAAAGTGTTTGTTTTGATTTGCAATAAGCTGCTGTCTGTTTCTATCGTTTCGTTTAAATGCATACGGTCGATCCAATGAAGACAGATATTTTGATAAAAACAAACGACAGTCTTTTAATATTATTGCTTCCTGAATTCACACCACCACCAGAACCGATTTTCCGAATTATGGGGAAAATCATGCCGATTTGCCGACGTGATTTGATTGCCGCAATCGGCCAATACACACCTGATAAAAAGGCGACATCATCTAAATCTGGATCGGTCATTTCGATTCGTTCGCGGCGCCAAATTTTCGATCCACCTTGGCCACCGCCAACAACAGATACCTTAACAGGTCCGCTACGTTGATTACCTGCCAATATATGATCGTTGCGTTGGGAAGATTTTTTCTTCCCTTCTCACTCAAATCACACAATATCGGCTTTTGATAAATAAAAAAAAAAATAACCAACGATTTGCCTCAATATTTACTTTTACGACTATTCCAACTGACGAGAAGTTACTCGTCAAACACTCAATTTAAGTAAACTTTCACTTGTCGTCGTTTGCTTTAAATATTTTTTTTTTGAAAATATGTTCGTTTGAAGCTATCACAAGCGATTCACAATCAAACTGTTGAACTTATAAAAAAAAGTATTTTGTCCGTTTGTTTGATATTTGCATAAATGAACTTCCTTTTAATTATGAAATTCACAAAAATCTCATTCTATTTCACTAACGTCCGACAATAAACTCACTCTCATCTGTCTTTATTTCTTTTCTTTTTTTTCGCTTGCTCTCTATTTCGCGATTCACATCAAATTATCCAGTTATCATGGCCACATTGGCTCACTGTCGTCGTCGTACTGGATGGACTTTTTTTATTACATGGTAGTTCATGAATTTGGTGTTTGTTGATGTGTCAGTATATTTTCGTTGCAAATTCGAAAGTGCTGAAAATGTAAATGGCAATGTTGTTGTTGGGTAAACCAAAAATCTGAATCAAATTGAATTTCGAATAATGTTTGCACTTCATTTGAAATTCAACGGAACAATGGTTGTTGACAAGCGTTTCATTCCATCCATTTTGCATTATGATTCTTCCATTGCTTCTTCACTCTTGCATTTTTTTTTTCTTTTGTTGCCAGTTTTTTTAATACGCATTTGATGGACGGGACGATGGCAGACAACGAAATAACATTTTATTTGCTTATTCGCCACTCTTAACACCCACATTGTGTGTGTGTTTCGCGTTTTTAAGTCTTAAATAATTCGTTAGCCGTCGATTGAACAATGACTTTGTTTTCATTGTCGTACACAGCAAAAAAACGAAAAGTGGGTGGAAAGAAAAATGTTTTCAAAACTTGTACACTGTATAGAAATTAACAAAGTAGAATGTGTCTCTTGTTGGAACTGATGGAAAAATGATTCAAGATTTCGGTTTGCTATTGAATCGTTTTGAGGGTTTCTAAACAAAGTAATCGAATGGTGCTTCAAACACACAGAGAAAGAGATAGAAAAAGAGAGAGAGAGAGAACTTTGAACTTATTTTCATTTACAAATGACACCATATCAAGTCAGGAACAATTTCCAATGGCAATATGTTTGCTAGGGGTGTAAAAGTATCGACCAAAACAACAAATCAGGCAAACAAAAAAATCACGACGATATAAAAAAACGGCGAAGAAGTACGTATTTTTACCGTTCACTGAAGTATTTGGCGATAAGAACGACAAATACATTCACAATATAGAAATGGAAAATGAAGAAAATGTTACGGACATTTTATGATGATAACTTATTTATATGGCTGAACTGAATTTTTTGTGTGATGACGACGCTGTACCATCGAGGACACTTAAATGTTCGTTGTTCGAATTTTTCCGTTGTAATAGCGTAAAGAAAAGTGCAAAAAGCCGACAGTGGTTGGCCGCGAAAAACGATGAAGTTCAGCTAGTGTGAATCAAGTGAAGATGATATATATATTCATGGGAGAAAATTGTTGTTTTTGCTACCAGCAAACCGATATGTATATAGAAACCGTATCGAGAGAAATGCAAACACACATACTCTTCTCGAAATGGTCGAAGAACTGTGAATCGCACGAAAATCGGTGAATTTCTCCCGAAAATAACGTGTGTTTTGAAGCAGGATAAGAAGGAGTAGAGGTAGTGGTAGTAGTTGGAGTCGAAGAGGAAGAAGATTCATGTACTCGGCAATGATAAACGCAACGCACGTTCACAAAGACATACACAAGCAAACAGATGGATCGAACACAAATGTAAATTTCATTTTTTTTCGTGGATGTTCCCATCCATGCCATATATATGCACTGTTATAGTATTATATGCATATCGTATCATCTGTGTTTTATACCTACACCATCATCACATTGCACAATACAAACGCACGCGCGCACACACACACAAACAACAGAAATACATCTAACGTACACTCTCTCTCTCTCTCTCTCTCTCTCTCTCTCTCTCTCTTTCTCTCTCGGTCGTTAGTCGTGTGCACCGTTAGCCGAAGGATATTTTTTACCCCAACTACTAAATTAAATGATGCGTTCACATGTATTTGTATGTGAATGTGTGCGTGTGTATGTATGTGTATGCCGAATGATGATATTCGAAATATAAAACACTATAAAATGCACATACGATTCTGTTGATTGTATTGTAAGTATTCGTTCTTTGAAGCATTTGGGAAATCCTTCACCGAATGTTTACGGTATAGCATCGAGCACCACTCGCGTTATCTGCTTTCAATGTTACTTCTTTGTCATTTTTTCGCTCATTCATTGGCAATTCTATTTTTTGATTCAATCTTCTTTTTTTGCTGTTTTCAAAAACACCAAAATTAATTTCGTTTGATTTTCCACAAAATTTTATTCAAACATTTGGGGGTTGTATTTTTGGCAAGCTTTTTTTAAAAAAAATAATGATTTGTACGCACAATTCGTTTGTGACACACTAAACACTTTTTGTCATTTCAGTTAAATTTTTCTTTTTTCAAATTCTTCTTTTGGACGAAAGCAAAATGACAATGAAAAACACCACACACACTCTAAACACAAACCGAAACGGTGAACGGGTGATGTGTTACGCTGAACAAAAATAATGCTGCTTATTGTAGAAAGTCGGTTAAACTGATATAAGGTAATATAAGTGGGTATGATTCGTATGATGATGCGGACGGAACGAGAAAAACTCTAACACAAGACTGAACTGACAGAGAGTACCGACTCTGGTCGTTTGTATTTTCAGTTTGGTTTTTGGTTTTGACGTTGAAACATTCTCTCAGTACATATCTCGTCTTTTTTTGGGGCGCATGCGTCTCGCTCATCACAAAAAAAAAAACAACAACAACAACAGTAAAACAGAAATGTGTTGTTGTTTTACACACTACCCGCTCTCTTAATATTCTCGCTCCTTCTTGCTATATTTTCGGTGGACTTCTGTTGTTACTTGGATGTTTCATGTCGATGGTGTTTGTGCGTGCGTATGTGTGTGTGTGTGTGTCATGTTTTTCATTCTATTTTCCCGTTATACAGAATAACAATTTTCGGCAAGGGATGAAAGCATTTTCCTCTAGTTATTGTTGTTGTCGTTGCCGTTTTTTCCTCTATATTCGTTTAATTTTGCCGTACTGTATGATTACAAGTGACAATGTATGAGTGCGGCGAACATGATCAGAATACAGGCAAACGAGAAAATAAATCTATATATATATGCAAGAATTGTATGTTTATATCTGTTTTAACCATCGTTATTGTTGTTGCTGTTGTCGTCAGTTTATTGTTGTCGCTTTCATCCAACACAAGGTTGAGCCGAAGCATACAGACAAACAAATACGAAAGATTCCATATGAGAATCATTCGACCAATAATGAAAAAATACAATGCCACCAATACATGTACATTCGGCGCAAATTCGGTGTACATTTTTGTGTACCACTTTGAATTTAAGTTTAAATCTTCAATTAATTACAATCGAATCATGTGGAACATATTTGCTACATATGCCATGCTTTGCAGAAATTCGAGTGGAATTGAAAATGGCAAAGATCAAACCATTTTCCAGCTACTTAAATGAAACATTTTTCAGAAGAAGAATTGTATCGACTCTCGATTGAAAATCTCGATGAGAAATCATTCACTCTGGCTGTCTGTAACTTGATGCACCTCAGTTCACTCTTTTGTGCCAGCAATCAATTAGTTCAAATGAAATTGACGTATTAAATTTGCAAACAGACCTGAAGAAGCCACAAGCAACGAATAATTGTCTGCTTCAAGCCATTGGAAATTAATAAAAATCCATTAAAATGCATGACTTGCATTTAGATTACACTTTCTATTGCGACGTACGACGTTTACCGAGCTCATTTCATTTCTTCCAACATTTATTATCGGTGAACTGTGGATATTTGTTTAAGAAAATAGCTGGTTTCGTAAGCCTTTTCGCATTTAATGCAGATTTTATGCACCGCTTGCCATTGGCAATCGATATTCTTGTGTAAGATGGTAGCGTACGAATCCATAACTATAAACTTATAGCAACGCGTTATCAGACGTGTTCGCGACATTAAGCGTATATTGCAATTCCTCCGAATATCAAATGCTGCTGCTTCGTCGTTGAATAAGACATTGCACATAGAAACCGCACATTCATATAGGGATGTGTGATGGTTTTTTGGTTCACGAAATCCGTATCAACGCAAATTAAAGGCTACAATAATTGCCACAAAAAAAAGAAAGAAAGGCAAACGAAAGAAAGTGATCAAATTTTGCATCACGTTTTGTTTGTGTGTGTGTCACGAATTTGGCATCATTTGCGCTTATTTCGCTTAATGCGTTCAAACCATTTTCGATCATTTTTTGTTGGAAAAGTTCTAAGGGCCGAACAAAATGGTGAAATATTCTATTCCATTTCGGAATGACACCGGATAACAAGTGAAAACAAGGACGGCATATGTTCCGGTTTCAAATACTATTCGCAGTCTGTTAATTTCTTTCTCATTATCCAATCACTGAGTAAAATAGCGGCACACAGTAAACATACGATTATGCTGTTGAAACGCACCGCCAACGACGTCGACGACGACGGCAACCACAAATGACACAAACGACCATTTCAATCGAGAACATCACAACGAAATGAACAGTAGTCGTCGTTGTCCATTTGTTCGTTGTTAACAAGCATCAAGTTTTTGCAATAGAAAATGCTTTTGTTAAGTGTATTTATTCACTGGCAATAATGGCGACTGAGCAGAAGCATCGGATATTTAGATAACGTTTTATCTTCCCGTTCTCTTTGTCCTTCGTCCCTCTTCTTGTAATGATTGCCAATGGTTTGTGGGCTAGTTGAATGTCTTTTATGCAGTACACATCATACAGATTAATTGGTGACTTTGGTCACATTTATTATTGTTTCCAGATAAATGCTACTGGAAAGTGGAAACGAACGAGAAAAAAAACAACACACATTTCATTTTAAGCAGATCAATTAAGTTGTTCGAACCGTTGTTATTTCAAGCTCTCTCAATTTTAGAATTTAAATCCGCAACCAATGCAAAACAAATCACGTTTTGCATATGCAGATTAACAACCTCTACGCACATATATACATTGGCTGCTTCAATCTCCTTTTTTCTCTTTCTCTCTCTCCCGTTCTACGGCGGTTCGAATTTCGTTTCAGATATTGCAGAATTTCCATGTGTGTGTGTGCGCGAGCGTAAATTCAAATGACAATTGTCATTATCATAAATTTTATTCGTCGTATCTTTCAAAACAATTTGTAAACGTATACTAATAAATTGCACAGACGACAAATCGGTCTAAATGCACAGCAAGCATATGGTCGACATAAAATGCAATTCACACATGTATTCACAATCATGCTCTATAGCGCGCACGCACAACCATCCCATCCAGACAACCATTGCAAATGGCAAAGATCGCGTTAATAGGATGGAATCGATTTAAACGAATTGTGCAAAAATGCCAGCCACAAGAAACGGGCATGAGCATTCGGGGAAAAATAGAAACAACTGAGAAAAGAAAGATGGGATGTAGAAAGAAACAAAAACAAAAAAAAAGAACATTTCCAAGCTTTTTCTTTTCTACTTTTGCTTGCTTTGGCTGCTGATTTCCATCGAACAATGGAACTTTCGAATATGTGAATGCAAGCGATGGTAGCAATAATGTATGGTAGAGTCGCCTTTTATTTTAAAACCACACTGATGAAAACAAGCAAGTTTTATGGTTTCACACCAAAATGCATTCGATTCGAATGCTGCTTCGCGCAAATATACATCTGTGTTTTTTTTTTCTTCTGTTCATTGGTGCAAATTAGGATTCTATGATCGTATCGTGTCGGTGTTTGTGCAGAGAGAAACGATTCGATGACAGACAATAAAATATATGATTCATCCGATAACCAAACAATTTCTTTGCAAAAGTTAATCAAAGCAAACGATGTGTGTTCGCTATATGTGTGATGCTACCAATGCAAACAGAATATGTCTGCCTCTGCATACCTGTGAGCATATATTGACATTCGGCAAGAAATTCGGTGGTATGTGCATTTTGTACTTGAAATTCGAACACATTTTTGTGCAGATAAAATTTGAAAGAATAATGGCTATGAATTCAATTCAAGTCACATAGAGAATGTTGGAGAACACGATACACACGACATTACTCATTGTATGCTTACACTTGTAAACAAGGTGTGCGCTCTGTGTGTTCCACAAACAAAATAACTACAACGAACAAAACAAAAAATACGGTTGCTTTTTTCGCCAGATAAAAAATGGCATTGCAACATAAAAAGCATTGAATGCGAAAAAACAAAACGACAGAAATAAAAAATGAATAGAGAATTACACACAAAGTTGGAGAGTGAGAGAAAAAAAAAAAAACATTACGATTTACATATTAGATCATTATTCGTCGCATCATGCAAATCGTTCTCCATCTCTCGCCGAAATGGATGAACAGAATTTGAACGAATGAATTTTATGATCATGATGAAAGAGATAAAAATAGAACGATTCTCTCTCTTTTGCTCCATCCCTAAAAGCTGGCCATGTGGCTCAAGTGCTCATTTAGATGGCAATGATTACAAAAACTATTTTAAAAAGGTCTATCCGTTGTGTGCGTGGGGGCCGTACAGAAAAAAACGGGTTTAATTTATGTGACATAATTATAAGTTCACGCAATACTCTTTGCAAGTGACACGAAATTTTTGCGTGCGACTGAAAATGAAGCGAAAGAGTAATGAAGAAGTGTCTCACTTTAAATGCAGAAGAAGTAAAAACTGCTGTAGATTAAACTCATATTCAGTTACATTCTTTCTCTTTTTCTTTTCGACAAAAAAAAAACGAATGAAGATTACATGAAAAATGCTTATTAAGTTTCTATCCATATAGTATTTTTTCTTCATTCCTATGCGCGCGTACACATGAACTCCTCAACTTTTTCTTTGTCTTGAATTATATGAGTTGATGCACTTTTGATTAAATCTGTCAGACGGTTTCGAGCGAGAGAAAAAAACACACACACACACAACAAAATCAACAACAAATGGTATTTGTTTCGTGCTCATTCACTTTGTCATTTCGGTGCAATGTCGAGCAAAGCTTTTACTGTGATTTCTCTTGATGAATATGCTAACAAGTTCAAATGCTATGCACATTACAATGCATTACAAGTCTCCCGACCTTATTTTGTAGTGCTTAAAGTCAATCACTGCCTAATGCATTTAATAACACAATGGGAAAACCTTTTTTTGTTGTTGTTGGTGGTATTATGATGAAAAGGCACAAGAAGAGTGAAAGAGTGCCTGATGCAAAGTGAATGTGGGGAATAAAAAATAGAACAAAAGCTGAATCTATGCTTAATGCCTTACATCGTATTGGTATCTCGTGTGTGTGTGTGTATGTGTGTCTCGAGATAAAAAAAATCCCGTACAACAAAAGCGAAATAAGGATAACAGCCGATGGAAAAAAAGAATGTCACCCAAGAAGAAAATTGACGACAAACACACTCACTTTCAATTATGTATTCATGAATGGGAAAGGCATAGTGATTAGCGAGCGTGAAAACAATGGATTTGTAACACAACCTACATTTTTCACGTGCTTTTATTGCCGCTTTCTTTGTCTGTCGCATCTGACTCTGATTGCGATCCAAATAAAGCAGCAACAAGAACAAAAGCAGCGATGCACACACACCCACACACAAAAAACCCCCCGAGTGACAAGAGTTCTCTCTGAGTGATTTAGCTTGCATCCTTACCGTATGCACAGAAATGCGTGCATATGTTATACATCTTTGACATTTATTTGGAGTTTTTCTGTCGCTTTTCCAACCCGCTCCCTTGATTCATTTTTTTTTCTCGCATCGACACATTTCGCATGGAGAAGAAGAACACACGACTCTTTTTTTTTCGCTTCTTAATGTGTTTTTAGTTATTGCACTCATATTTATAAACATGTCCGTGTTCAGTCATCAGTGATGTTAGAAGAAGTCACTTGCACTCAACACACATATATTACCAACGGAGGATATACAGCAACAAATAGCCAGAAAGAAAGAGAGAAAGCGAGTGAAAAACGACACCATGTGATTTCAACTCAGCGTTTTCTCTTCTTCAGATATAATAGTACTTCAACTGGTGTTTACTTATTTCTTTTTGCCATACATTTTTTTTTGTTCGATTTTTTATTCTGCGCCCGCTTCCTTTTTGTTCTTTTCCCATTCGATGAAATGGAATTTGTTGAATGCAAACACACCGAGAAATATACGTGCTTATTATGAATAAAACTGAAATTGAAAACAAAGAATAGGGAGCGAATGTGTGTATGTGTATCTATGTGACATAGAGTAAAAATGAATGAAAAAAATGCATGCGGCTGATAAAAAAAACTTAAACGAAAGTGTATGTTATGGTGCATGCGACCTAAAAACACAGTATTCCATATAGCAGGCGGCTGGTATGAGATAAGTAGCAAAGAAGCCAGAGAGACAAGGAGAGAGAAAGAAAAAAAAACCGAATCGAAATTTATGTATATATGCAAATATAGGAATGTGTTCGTTTGAATAAAAACCGTATACGTATTAAATGAAAATGGATTGCAGTCATATATGAGTGTATGCATGTGATTTTCAGGTGTACGTTTTTTTCTCACTTGCTGTTATGTTTATTTTCAAATCTCCTGGCTATTGCATGACGGGACTATACAAGACCCCAAAATGATGAAAATAAACACGACACCTCATTTTTACACACTTAAATCGAGAGGGACGGACAAGCGACGGTGATTTAATGAAAAAGTCATAAATGAAACACGCGAAAGATGATTTAAAAAAATTTCAATTGAGATATGAGGTGAATTGGTTCGGTGGAATGCATTAATTCCATTTGCACTTATCCAGCTTATCGTTGTACACGAATTTGCAAAATTGCAAGGTATTTCTTCGTTAATAAAATGGAATCTCCTCACAGTCAATTAAATAATAAATAAAACATTTGTCAACTATAGGCAAATAAATCGATGGCATTATAGATTTGCATTTCTGCAATGCAAAATAATGGATTATTTCAAATGGTTTTTTTTGTAGCACATGCCACAACAACTTCACAGTATTCCCATTGATGGCAAGAGATGTGCTCATCATTCAATCTGGCGATTGAAAAAATTAAATGTTACCGAACGCTTTTATTTCACAATTTTTTCGTGTGATAAAATAAAAAAATTCAATTGTTTATTTGTTTGTGGTTTTTTTTATTCACAATTTTTTGTTTGCCAGCTGAAACTTCATTTCAATTAAAATGTTCTGGTGGAATTCAGGAATCAATAATTCAGAACAGTATTTGAATTTAAAAAAAAAAGCAATAAAAAATTAATTAAATCAAATTCAATTAAAACCGGGAAAAGTACTCACCAAATTGAACGCCATTTGTTTTTGACTCTTTGTCGGGTGATTGTAGTGAATTTGGACCGCCTAATGGTTCTAGCTCTTTCTCGTCATCCGTTTTCGTTTTATAATCACGCTTCAATGACATCTTTTTGCACTAAAAATTGTTTATCCACTTTTTGTTACAACAAAATCGTCAAATCAAAGAGATTTGATTTGTTTTACAATAGGAATTTATTGATCACTTGTTGTGGTGCTCCGTGTTTTTTCTTCGAAATGTTTCTATTTAAGATTGATGGGATTTATTTTATTTGTGTTTATATAATTTGTTCCACTGATATGAATGTGATTAGATTATCCACAATTGATATGTATTTGCTTCATGTTTGTTTGCTAAATTGTGTGACATTGGATGCAATTTTATCGCACTCACTTCTTCCGTTGATTCCTCTCTTTTTTTTATTATTGTCTTGAAATCTCTTTACTAATTGAGATATAATGCGATCGTGTTGATTTCTCTGCGACCAATCAAATTCATGCCAAACACTTGCCGATGATGATGTTGCCAAAGTCGAATTATTCGCGTTGATCGTGTCGTTCTTCAGTTTGGGTATATGCACACAAAAAACATGAGGCCTCCTAATAAAACATTCTGAAAATGAAACGAAAGAAGAAATTCGATAGAAATGTAAGCTCTCTTTAACTACCTCATTTAAATATACAGAATATATGTATCATATCAAATGTTTCGTGTTTTTTTTTTCATTCTGTTTCATTTGTTCACACATTGTTCGTAGTTTGTGTTGCAATTTCTTTCTCTCTCTCTCTCTCATTCAAGTATTGGCGATTCTTATTGCATGACAAATGCTTATATGCATACAAAATAATGTATGTACACGAATCAGAATGGGCCAGAGTGTATCATTTATGCAAAATTCAATTAATAAATATGGCACACATAACATGGTCAATAACATTATCCCATTCAATAAGCGCCAACATTCTCATCATCTCAGAAATGAAATTTCCCTTTTTTCAGAACCAAAAAAGAAAAAGAAACCATTTAGTTGGACGAGGGACGGCAACAATTGGGGAAAGTAAAAAAAAAATCTGAAACAGCATTTTTTTTCAAAAAAAAAAAAAAAAAAAAAACGATATCTTAAACGAACACACACTCGCAAATGATTTCATGGCTGGTGAATTTGTGCTGGCTTGTTCCTAATTTGAATTGGAATGGTTTCACTCGGCTTATAATGCCAGCCAAGGAATTTAAAAAAAATGTTTGTCGTATTTATCACCAGTGAAAGTGTGTTCACACCAATTGAACGTTATTTTATCGAAATGCCATTTTTTTACGATTACAATCGGCGCGTATTGAGGCGGAGGGTGATACTCTTAAAACGGCCATCAAAGAACATGATTGAGTATTTATGTTCGTGTTTTACAGATATAAAATTATAAATTGAATGCAATTGTGTTTGAACTATGTGCGGCATGTGTAATATGCATGTGAATCGCGGTCAAACACGAAATAGAATTGGCAGGCTAAGGTTACACACACACAATTCATAGAATTTGATTAAGCAATGTATAATTATCGTTTCTTCTACATTGTTGCATTTAGTTTAATTGAATAACGGCATTTTTAGCGGGTCACTGACGTAGGCATTATTCTGTCATTTCTATCTCTGTCCAACTGCCCCCTCCCCACTCATCAATTTCATGTAGTGTGCATGGTCACTGTGCGCACAATGTTACTCTCTTAATTCGCGAATATGTTGCGCGAAGCCGGCAAAGTGTTAATTTGTGCTGAATATGTATGCAGATGCGAGAGTATGTATTTTTTTATATTATTCAATTTGTTTGCTTGTGCTGATTTTGCTAAAATCCGGTTGAATGAAAATTATCTTATCACAAAATTATTTTTGCAATGGTAACAAACGAGACCATGCATTCATTCACACATAATTATAGAAGAAAATACAAACATACACATTTTAAAGAGCTTCGGAAGACCTTTGCTGAATGATAATAATCAAAAATGTAATGATGTACAGACAACACACACACACACATCCCAGACAATCACAAATGAAGCACATCATTAGATTACGCTTTTGTTACGCTGATAAAAAAACATTTCATAAATGCGCTTGCATTTGCGCTTTCGATTTCAATTCAAGCGTGGATATATACATATTGCTTATACTATTTACTCGCTCGGTCTTTCAATCTATTTTGTGGGTCTATTTAATTGTTGTAGCTCAATCTAAACAAAGATGAATAATATGAAGAAAAAAACAACAACAACAACATCTAATTGTCTCACAAAATGTCAACCATCTGGCCGTCAGTCGGCTGAACGAGTTCTATTCTCGATATATTACTGTGCTCTATGTCTTTTTAACACCGCTAGCATCTTTAACAACTTTTAACAACTGATGTAAGCGTTTACGTTCTCTTTCTCGCTCTCTCGCTTCGCTTGTTCCATCACTCGCGCCGTTTTCCTATCTCTGTCTATCTCGGGGAAAAATTTAATCAGGCCATATTAAACATTATCGCTCCGAAAAACAAATAAAAGATGAAATAGAAAATAAAATCATCACTGAAAAATGATGTAAAAAGAGAAAATAGGAACATATAGACATATGTGTTGACGGTCTTTTTCTATTATTATTATTTTCGTTGAAGAATTCCTCGTCCGGACTTCAGTACATTCAATTAATTCGCCAGAAAAATAGTTTATGTTGAGTATTCGATTCGGACGCACAGTTTCTTTTTTTTTAACACACGACAAATACTTGTATTTTGTAGGAATCCTTTTCGAAAAAAAAAAAACCTTTTCTTTTCGTCTGTTGTGAATTTAAAATCTAATATTAAATAAGAGCACGTTGACCGATCAACTGTATTTAAAACGAACATATTTTTTTTTTCGGTTGCAACATTCGTTTTAGCATGAGGCGTTTTTGTTATTTATTGTGTATTTTTTTGGTATTTTTCGATGCCATAAAAAGCGACGATGATGTCGATGAAATTGACGAAATCGATCAATTGCCGCAAATCGCCCTTGTCGATCAATTGACCAAGGACTATTTGGTAGCGGAAAGAAAACTATGGGAGGTTATTGAACGGCGTGAAGACAGCACATTGCAGCAAATCTATAATGTTCATACCGAATTTTTGAATCGAAATTATGGCGAAACAAATGTTTTCCTAAACGGTTTTTATGCAAACAATGTTGATCCAAAACTATTGAATTGTATAATCACCATAAATGAAACGTCGCATGATATTGCACGTGAATTTTTCGAACATCGTAACTACACCGTATTGAGTATGAAAGCATTTGAGGGAATTCATTTGGATAAAACATTCGAAACGGTGTGTGAGCAAACAATTAATTCAACCGATTTCTGGAGTAATTTACAAAACGTAAGTGATAAAAAAGGCATTCCAATTGAAGTGACCGCAAATGGAATGCAGTGCTATCGAAACAGTGTTGGATTTACATTGCCGTTTGTGTATTACATTTTAAATGCGCTAAATCTAAAAAAAAGTAAAAAGCCTTACTTAAGCCTTAATCGTCAGTGTGCGATCCACATTTAGTTTCAGTATAGCAAATATATGTACCGAAAAAGTTGATAATTTATCATATAAATTAACCACACACGCTTTCACATACACACACAGTCAACACAGGATTGTCAATTGCAGTCGAGGTCAGTTCAATCAGAGTATCAAATGTTATTTGAATACTATAAAGACATTCAGGCAGCTGCATTGCGTACATATATCACATCGCAATTATCCTATATGATATTGCATTTGCATGAGAGTGGCGAGTTTCACAATCAATCTCTCGTTTATCAAGAGCACTTTCGTGAACTAAATGCTCAAGTGCGAAATGTATTCAATAGCAAATTGCAGCAGGCAAACAGAGACGTTTGGGCATGTGATCCACTCGATTATAATGGTTTGTTTTCACCAAAACAAAAAACAAAAAATATGTTGCACACATATGTGTGCATTTAAAATGGACAGACAAATTTTAATTTGATTTTCACATTTCATATCACTTTTATCACGGCCGCTCTTTTTCTCTCTGGGTCTGAAAATGGATGATGGAATGGGTGTGTAGCGCCAGGAGCGAGCTACGAAATTACCAATTTCCTTCAGGGATACATTGATGCTGAGGTTAATTTAAATGCTGAAGGCAGTTGCGCATTAACATGTGGCGATTATCAAAATACAAAACATTTTGCATGCAATTCGGACACACTTTGTGCTGGATTAAAGCCAGAAAATCGGGCTGTGATCGGTTGTAAAGGGAAAGTCAGAGGATGTCATTCGTTAGACGATAGCATTTCAGTTTGTCCAGCGGTAAGTGTGTGCATACATTTTCCATTGAAATGCGCTATTTTTAAAATAAATGTCAATATGTTTTGTGTATTTTGGTTGGCACATAGGAGGGCAACAATGACGGTCGTTATAAATACGTGACATCAAGCACGGGATTACGGCTCGGTAACGTAACATCGTGCACCAATGAATTGAAGGTAAAAATTGAAATATTAAATCATATTTTGTCTCTGATCGTATGCATTTCAACTACAGGCATATTCTTGGGTTCGTTGGTTCGTCAAATGTTCAAATTGTTTTTGTTTCTGTAAGTAAACATATTTCTGCTCGAATAAATTACGAAATTTTATATTATGAATTGATTTTGTTTCAGGTGACGACAGTTCAAATTCGGATCGATACTTTTCACTTCGAGAAGTGGTGTCGGACATTGAGAAAAATCAAATTGTGACCGGAGTTTCGTTGACCAAACGCAATGGCATTGTTCAATTTGTGATTGCACAACGTCAATTGCTTGCATTTGGTAATGTTGATCGCACACCCATTGAATACGGTTGGAATTTAGCCGAACAATTCGTTGCAAATAGCAATGAATCACGTGATGGTGTTGACTATTTCACCTTGACTTATGAAAATCGCAATTTAAATTTGGACACAATCATAGCACCGCCGAACACTGTTGTAACTGGCGTTCGTTTCAACATCAATAAAAAACGTAATTTATTGCTGGAAGTGCGATTCACTGAGTTCGATGCATTTACTGGAAAATTGATCAACTTAGAGAATAGCGTTTGGCAATCGAATGCAGATGGTGGTAAAAGTCGCATTAATACCGATAACTTAGATGTGCCTACGAAAACAACGCGACCATCAGTTCCATATTTCGATGTGAATAAATTCGTACGATTTGGACCGACACATAAAAGTGCCGATCTTAGTCAGCGAACGGTACCATTTATTGATGGTCAAAAAGTTGAACCAAAAATGCCCGCACCACTTGCCGGAATTGGGCTCTATTACAAATCCAGCGGTTTCATTGCACCAAAAATTGTTCTTTACAATTTTGAAGCATCTATTCAATAAAGAAAACCGAATGAGAGAGGGATTGGAGAAAGGAAGGAAGAGCAACAACATTGTACAATCAAAATCAGCATTCTGATCAGCATATAATTTTTTTTGTTTACTATATCATGATTTGTTTATTGTATTCGAATATAGCATCATTTATACAAAAAAAGGAACTAATATAATAATTTAAAAACACACACAGTGACATACACACGAATGAAATGCATTTGATCATCTGTGTAATGCCTTTTTACACTACTATACAATTTTTTTTTTTGATAAAGACGTTGACTATATCAACTGTAAATAGTATTTTCTTTTTAAATAAAGAAATATAATCAATAACGGAAAGAAGAATTATCTTCAATTTGAACGATGTTTTATTTTATTTTATTTTTCGCTTTTTCTTTCATGTAGTCCGCTCGGTGTGTGTGTGTGTGTGTGTGTGTGTGTGTGTGTGTGTAGAAGAGAAAAAAATGTATTGAAAATTATATGTCGGTGCGTCCTGCTGGATCAGGGTAATACGGAGAAATGTAGGAGTGAAAAAGAGCACGAATGTTCGAGAAAGTTTTTGTTGCATGCGTATACATTGTTGCATCGTATGGTGGGCATTCGATAAATAGCCGAAATAGAGCGCATTGTAATGTGATGCGAATAAAATAAGAAGAAAGGCGACGACGACGACGAAAATGTGTTTGTGCTTTCGTTTAACTGATAGCGATGTTGTAATCGAATTGACTGTCCATTAGCAAAGCGTATGAACGTTTCATGCATTTATTTGACTCGTTGTTATCGCATCAGTTAAATGTTCTTTCGCTCGATTTTTTTTTTCATTCGGTTGTTCACAATTTATGTATTCTTCAATTCATATTTCTTTCTGGTTGTAAATCATTTTGTTTATTTTGGTTTGGTGTGTGTCGCAATCGAAGTCTGATGAAAATTTAGTATTATTGGGAAAGCATTTGAACAACAACATATTTGAAATTGAAAGAAAAAAAAATTAAAAACGAAAACGAGAAAGGAGACGGAATTGAAAGAGAAAAAAAAATGTCAAGGCATCGTTTAAATTTGTTGAAATTGTTTGTGATTTTGTACAGTATTTGTGATGAGAGTTACTCGCACATTCGGCCACTTTATGAAGAGTTACAAATTAATCGTTCGATTGCCGAATATTTTCAAATCGAAGATACTCTCTGGACGGCCATTATGCGTCGCGATGAAAATACATTGGAATCAATTTGCAACGAACATAAAATTCGTTTAAATGAGAATTTATTTCAAAATATCATTGAACGAAATCGAATTGGTGTCGATTTGGAACTATCAAATGGACTGAGATTTCTCAACGATACAACAACCAATGTGTATAACATCATCAAATCTCGTGACTATGGCGGATTGATGCGGTAATCGATAATGCAATTTTTTTGTTTGTTAAAAATATAAGAACTATTCTATGTAATTGGTTTCAGGTATTCGGGTAGTCATCGAGTCAAAAATATTACCGATGCAATTCAAAAAATCAGTCGAGCAAGCATTTCATCGGATCTTTGGCGAGATTTAAGCGATGTATTTGTTGCACAAAATTAATTGATTTTTTTTTCTTCATTTGAATCTTGCTGCTATTTATTTATTTACTTTTTTTGGTAGGATGCTCGGATTTGCAAGCAGCATTATACAACGAATTATCAATCCGAACATCATATGCTTGTCGAAGTGTATAAGGATATTGAAACGAGCGTATTGCGTGGCTATATGGTTGTTCAGTTGGCCTACATGATACTTGGTCTACGCGATCGGGGTAAGGAGTTAAAGCCATTTTGCCCAAAAAAAATTTAATTTGAAAAGCAATCATTGATGTGGAATAATATACAATTTTCGTTTATGTGCTCTGTAGAAAAGTATCGAAATGAAGCCAGAGACTTGCATCTTAAGATTTTAGAACATAATAACAATTTTCGATCAAGCATCAAGGAAGTAATTTCAAATGCAAACCGTGACGTAATTTCATGCAGCCCAGACAACTATGTCTTTGGTATGGCAATCGTGTGACATTCATATCCATTTTGATGGAAAAATTAATTTCTTTTTCACTCCCATAGAATCGACGGAGTACGAAACGATAACTGGATTTTTACAAGGTTTTGTCGACAACGAAATAAATCTCAATGAACAGAATACATGTAAAAACACATGCGAAGATTATCGACTCACTCGACAATATGGTTGTCATAATGATACCCTTTGCGGTGTACCGCTCAAGAATCAACGCATCAACAAATGCAACGGCATTTTAAGAGACTGTGAATTTATCGGATCCGATTTGGAAATATGCCCATCGGTAAGTGAAATAGACTTCACACATTGAAGGATTGCATACGATGTATGTTTATTTATATTTAATGTATAGAGTGTGGAGATGAGACGTTACAAATACCTAAAATATGAGAATGGACGTCATTTGGGCGACAAGGGTGGTTGTGCTCAAGGCATTTCAGCCCATTCATGGACAGATTGGTTTGTTCGATGTCATAATTGTTTCTGCATATGCGATGAATCCGACAATGCATCCGATCGATATTTTAGCTTGAGAGAGGTGGTCTCCGACATCGAATCAAATCAGTAAGAAGCAAAACAGTTTGCAAATTTTCCAAACAATTGAATTTTGCTTTTGTTCATTTCAGCATTGTAACCGGAATTCATATTGCCAAACCAAACCGAATCGTTGAATTAGGTATTATTATTATCATTATTTTTGTTCTGTTTTTGTTTTCATCTATCTTAAATTAAGGTAGACACACATACAGATATGATTGTTTTTTTTTTTTTTTTTTTTTGAACGGGTAAATAGTTGTTTCGACACGAAAGCTCCAATCTTTTGGCCGTTTGAAACCGACCAATAACTACTTTCACTACAATTACCCAACATGGACGCGGTCGCATCCGAAGCTCAATTTCAACGATCCGGATTTAAAAGAGGGCATTGATTATCATAAACTAACATATAAAAATCGTTCGATAAATTTCGATACAATAATATTGCCACAAGGTCATATTGTCACTGGCGTTCGATTTGCATTGCACAACGGCCATTTGCGTTTGGAGGTTGTTATGATTTATACTTATCTTTCTCTACTTTTCTTCTACACACAGAGACATTTTACAAAGAAAACTAGATGGCATGTCGTATAAAATTTGGAACTTGATGACAATACATATAAAATTGTATTTGTCAATATAATCTTCATGTAAAATATCGTTTTTGTGTATTCTCTCTTGTGCGGATCTTCTTGAAAAGACAAACGAAGAAGAACCACACAAAGAAGAATACACAAAAACAATATTTTGTATGAAATTATATGAACAACGTTATCGTACAATTCTATACGGAGTGTCAACTAGTTCCGAATTTTATACGACAAGCCATCTAGTCTTCATTGCAATATTTCTCTGTGTGTAATGGTCCCAATCAAATCATAAATTCAATTTATCATTTTAATATTTTATTCTCTTACAAAAATGCCAAGTGTACACAGTTTTATCCGTTTCTATAAATACCTAATTACTTTGAACCTTTTCGCGTCGCTCTTCTTCCTTTTTTCGCTGATTTTGATAATCAATCATGTTTTTCCGTCTTCTTTCAAATCGGAGATAGTTCTTCAAAACTGGACAAAGACCGGCTCATCTTCGTAATAAATTACCAATTAATTTTTGCGCACAAATAGCTTGTTAATACCTTTACCTATCGTCTCCGGTCTTGTTTACTATTTTGACTTGGTCGTCGACTTCGTATTCTTTTCTCTTCGCTAATTTCGCTAATTTATTTTTCTTAATTGTTACTTATTTGACTACGTTATCGTACAATTCATTCGTTAGTCTCTCAAGCGATCTTTCCAACTCATCCGTCACACACCAAGTGTCTTGCTCACGTCCTTTGACGGTTCGACGTGTCGCTTCACATTCCTACTTGTTTCATTTATGGCGTGTGACTGTCAACTGTTATACTTGGCAACTTTTCATATTCATTTGGACCTTTTTTAACCGTTCTATTCATTACATTTTTCCTTTTTTTTATTTTAAATTAAAATCCAAAAAAAGGTGCGAGCAACCGAATTCGATTTTGAAACTGGCACACTTATGAATTTAGCAAATAGCACTTGGTATGCCAACGACAATGGTGGTCGTTTGGAAATTTATTTGAATAAACCAAAACCAATTGGATTGCATGGTTATCCGATAATCAATAACATTCCCGACTCGTATGTGAAATTTACGCCAACCGACAAAGAAGCTGATGCATCACAAACAATTGTTCCTTATTTAGAGACACAAAAAGTCGAACCAATCATACCAGTTCCCCTTTCTGGAGTTGGACTCTATTACAAGGGTCGACAAGGCCATGGTAAACAAATCAATTGATTCAAATTTTTAATTTTTTTTTCAACATAAAATGCTTTTGTTCACATTGCAGGCGGTGTTATTGCACCGAAACTCGTTGTTTACAATTTCGAAAGCATCATTTAATTGAGTGCTCTCTTGCATCGTCATCAAAAGATGATTTTTTTTTTGTAAATCAAGTCGCAGAATAGATACAAAAACAACATTTTGGCGTTTAATACATTTTCTCATTTTTTTTGTAACTACCATTATTGCCATAAATCATTTAATGAAATTAAACAAAGATATCAGAATTTTTGGCATTGAATTTCATTGCCAGACTCATTTATTCTGGCATGAAATTCAAATGAAAACATTTTTTAAACTCTGATTCAAGTGTTTGTATCATTTAAGTTTAAATAAATGGATGGAATTAATCCGACGCGCCAGAAAAACATTTTTTTTTCACCATTGCTTGTTTTACATTTTCGACTTCATTGCAGCAGTTTACAAAACTTAATGGATCAAAAAACAGTAAATTGCATACAATTAACAACTGAGAGCATATTTGGCTGGATTTTTTTTGTTCCTTGCACATAATTTTTGTTTGTGGATGTCTGTGGCAAGGCAATGCACAAATGAAAACGAAACAAAAAAAAATTGTTTTGAATTTCAAAAATCTATTTCGAAGTATTTTCGCTCAACAATTCAATACACATGAAAAAAGAAAAAAAAAACTTTTGTTGCAATTGGAAGTTTGCAAGAGAAAAAAACACCATGTTTGCATTATAGTAAGTACAATGTAAATGCCTAGTGTATGTCTGCGAATACCACTCATTGTGCCGAATTGAAAGGTGGCAGGGGTGGCGCAAGGCATAATGGAACATAGAGAGTGTTTTCTTTGATATGCAAATAAGTGATATGCATTTATGTTGTTGAGAATTATTACCGTGTACGGGCAAAAGTTTCAATTTTTCCACCGAAAGACGCATTGATGATAAGAATGGAGGGTTTTCAACTAAATACAGCGCATTGAAATTACTTCAGATTGTGTTTTCGAACGAAATTCGGCTTTCAAAAAGTTGAACAAACCAAGGGCAGAGAGAAAGAGAGAAACTACGTCAAAAGAAAACAAAAAATGTATCATCGGTGTATTTCGGAAAGAATAAGTTTTACTATCAGCATTGTTCCTGTATATGTAGACACTTTCCCAAAATATGCATAAAAAATTAGACAACTATAATATCGTCTTTCGTCGAAGACGACAAAAACATATAATAAGACAGACAACATCTATGACAAAAATAGAACTTTTTTTCCAACTTCTTACTTTATTGTACAAACATTAATTCGATTTTCTACTTCTACATTTACTCTGAATGGATCGGCTTAATTTAAGAATATATGATGTATGCAGGCTATGTTGTCAACATCGGTTGCCGTTATTATTGTTATTTGCTCTCTCCTAGTCTCTCCATCCCTATTAATATAATGAAAATGAATGCAACAAGCGATAATTTAGTCTCTATCATGTTTTTTATTTGCTTTAGTCTGTCTTCAAACCGAATACAGAGGCGCAACAAAATTTATTTATTTTCAGTGTTATTTTAGTTCGATAGCATAACAAGTTCGAAATATGTTCAATTGATAATTGAAGTAGTGTATAGTGTTTGTTTGTTCATACCATATACGTCATTAAAATCTATATTTCGTGTATTCATGTGCACGCGCGCAAAAAGCAAAATGTATAACTCAATAAATTGCATCGTTGTGATTGCATTTGTGAATATGCAGTTGTTGTGTTTGCCACCCGTTGACAGTGCCATCGATGCTTTGGTCCAGGATTATTTGAATGCTGAGAAAAATTTATGGCATTTAGTGCGAAGTACCACAAATTTATACAAAAACGATGATACATTGGCCCATATCTATGAGACGCACGAATTTTTTATGGCCATGAATTTCAATGAAATCGGCCGATTCGATACATTGTCAAAACAGGAACGAAATATTTCACATGAAAATCGAATCATGGAACGGCATCTATGGCGCATTGTCGATGCTGTTCAGCATATCAACATAACAGCTTTAAATACACAACGGATTTTAAGTCACAATCAATACGAGTATTTGCCGAATATAATGAAAGATATCGCACAAAATATGCCAAAAATGCTGGCAACTCTTTGCAAATACACCGACACCAAGTTTTGGTTGTTTATAAAAAATGTAAGAAAAAAAAAATGATACCATTTTTGCATTCTATATGTATATGCGCGCGTGTGTGTTGATTATTGATTTTATTTTTATATTTTTAGAATTCACAAGTTTGCTACAAAGATGTTGTGCATGTAGCGTTAGAGAATCAAGCATTGGTCGAGTTTTACAACGAAATTGTTGCTGCAGCACTCAAATGCTATATGTTACTTCAGATGACTTATATGGTTCAAACGGCTACTGATCTCGGTAAACGAATGTCCGGAAGCTCCTTTTGCAACTTTTGAACAACAATTTTCACGCTGAAAACATTTTCTTTTTCTCAACTTACAGGTAACTTTAATGACCCGGGATATAAACTCCGAGAAAGTTTTTCATTCAATGTGACCGCCATTCAAAACTACGTGAGAATCGAATTGACAAACGCAAGCCATGCAATGTGGGCATGTGACTGAGATGATTTCACTGATCCGGGCATGGCAAACACTTTACCATCAATTTGTATCTCATTGTTATTTGTTTCTTTCTTTATAGTTCGTCTTTTGTTCTTGTCGTAGATTCTTTTATTGAGATATCAAGATTCTATCAGGGTTACATTGAAAACGAGATCAATTTAAATCCAGAAGGTAATTGCCGTCAAACTTGCGATGAATACACTGAAACAAAGCATTACCATTGCGCTGAAAACAGTTTATGTGCGAATTTACATGATCCGTCGCAACAATCGAAGCTGATTTGCCAAGGCACCATACGGAATTGTCAATATATTGACGGTAGTTTCAACATTTGTCCGACGGTACGGTATTTTGCTCTCATATTTCCTCATTAAATGTTCAATTGTTTGTGAACAAAAACTTTTGCATCTCGAAAAAAAAACAACGACATCTGAAAAATATTCACTCGCATTCATATGAAAACAGGAGGAAGGCTCGATGCAACGTTACAAATTTCTCGTGAACGATGACGGAAGTGTATTTGGCGGTGAAAAAAATTGCAATCATTTGCATACTATTAGAGCGAAATCGTGGTGGAGTTGGTACATTGTAGCAATTGTTTTTGTTACTGTGAAGAGACATTTGGAAAACATTCCGACAGATACTTCAGTCTTTGGTCCGTCGTTTCAAATACCGCCGCGAACAAGTGAGTGTACAGCACAGTTTACAAAGTTCATATATAATGTTTTTCTTTAAATGCCGTTTTAGAATTATAACTGGCGTTGGCTTTACAAAACTCAATCGTATCGTTCAGTTGAAAATTATGGAAAGCGAATTGATGCCAAATGGCACAATTGAGGCGACACATTTGAATAACAGTAGTTGGCACACGTCCAACACATTTTCGATTGACGACGATGATGTTGAAGAGGGTGTTGATTTTTATCAAATGTCATGGTTTAATCGATCCATCGATTTGGACACTGTTTTTGATGCTGACCGAGTTGTGACCGGCGTTCGGTTTCGTGTTTTCAATTCACATTTACGCCTTGAAGTGCGTGTCACAAAGTTTAACTACCAAACTGGTAAATTAATCGATATTGAACATAGTGAATGGATTTCGAACAATGCAACCGAGACGAAAAAATTAATCGAACCAAAGCATCCGGATCGTTCAACTCGTTCCAAAGAAAAATCAATACCAATTCAGGGAAAGAATTATTATGTAAACTTTCAGCCGACTGATATTCATAAAGATGTTGCCCAAAGCACAGTACCGTTCATCGATACGACACCAATTGTATCCCGAAAACCATTAGCCGGCCTGGGATTGTATTTGAAAACACAAAACGGATACGGCGGCTTCATTGGCGCAAAGCTTATTGTATTCGATGCATCGTTAGACATGCTACCAATTAATAATTTTTAACGCCATTCCTTTTTTTAAGAAAAATATTAATACAATTTGTTGTATGTTTGTAAATCTTTTTTTATTTTATTTTGAGAACGCTTACAAATAAAGAATATATATATAAAAGGTTGTATGTGGTTTAAATTTTGCGAGAATCATAACTTATAAGTTTTACAGCAATAAAACCGCCGAAACCATCTTCGCCCTTGTAGTATAAGCCAGCACCTGAAAGTGGATGTGGTTCGCTCGCTTCTAACGGCACCGATTCAATATACGGCACCGTTAGCTGTGCGAGATCCTTTTTTATGTCTGTCGAACGGAACTGAATGAATTTATTGTTCGAATCAATTCTCGGTTGTATATTATTCGGCCATGTTGGCGAATCTGGTGCATCGATAACAATTTCATCTCGATTCTCACTAATTAAATTATTGATCCATTCGCTTTGTTCTAAATTTTGTAGTTTTCCACTTTCGTAATCGAATTCGGTGGCACGGATTTCCAAATGCAATCGATTGTTATGAACCTGAAATCTAACACCGGTCACCACTTTATTCATCGGACATACGACAGCATCTAAATTGATTGACCGATATTCTTTTGTCAATGTAAAATAGTCGTTGCCATTTTTGCCATCATTTAAAAAGTCCATGCTATTATTTTTCCAGATTTGTGTTCGTCGTAATGTGTCATTGACTTTTCCAAATCCAAATAGTTCACGCTCGGAAATGCTGAACTGAATGACCCGATTTATTTTCCGTATCGCAATTCCAGTCACAATTCTACAAATTAACAAAAATTAAATATCGAGAGAGCGAGATAGAGATAGGTAGAAATGAGATCCATTGTCAAAGTAAAATAAGAATAATTACTTGTTAGCACCAATATCGGATGACACGTCCGATAAGCTAAAATAGCGATCCGATTTTTCACCCGGCTCATCACAAAAGCAGAAGCAATTACCGCATTCATTTGGTAACCGCTCGGATCTCGTTGCCAGCTCGGTTTGTTCGGCTTTGAAACATAATACATTACGACCGTTCATCGAACCATTTTTAAATGTCACATAATTGTAACGTCGATTTTGCCATTCATCCTTCTGTGATGTGATGTTCAAACAACATTATTAACAGCATTTGAACAGAAATGAAAAGAGAGAGAAAAAAAAAACACGAAAGGAAAAAAATGATGTCGATGAGATACAAAAACGATGTGAAAATGAAATTAAGTCCTCAGTGAATGATGACATTTTCGAAATTGAATTTATCGAGCGAAAAAAAAAAACACAAACAAACCACAAGGCAAGCAATTCCATTCGTTTCGATCGCACTACAATCGAATACATCGCCGGTGCATCTAGTGCGTGCAAAATTGCTGTGAGTGCACAACGTGTCATTTTGACATTGGTGGTTTTTGGTTGACTTGAAATCGCTGCATGTACCATCACAATTGTGTTCGCCATTCAAATTAATTTCATTATCAATGTAGCCTTGCATAAAGTTTGTGATTGACGTGTAGTAGATGGCTGTATCGACGAAATAAAGCGAAAACATGTTTTTATTATTCTCTCGTCCGTATTCAGTTTTTTTTCTCCCGTAAAATATATTAGATGTGCCATTCGAATGCGTGGGCGTGATACTGACTCATCATTGACCGAGCTCATACACACACACACACACACACACACACACATTTGATAATGTGTTGTGGCAATTTATTTAAAAGGTTTAATAGGTAGATGTGGTTAGTGCTTACGGCTATCTAAATATGGTGCAGGATTGCATTTCCATAGCTCGAGACTGGCTGCGTTCAGCATATTTTCAATGATATGCCGAAATTCCGAATATTGCTCCAGGTAAAATTTACGTTCGACATTGGCTTCGTCATGTAAATTACGATGCAGCGATAATGATATCAACATATAAGCCAATTGACTCATGGCATAGCTGCGAAGCAACGATTTACCAACATTTGCATAATATTCACGTACCAATTGTGCCTCGGATATTACATAGTTGACATATCGAATGCAGCACTTTGCTTCCTGTTGTCATCAACCCACATAAAACAAAACAAATAAATTAAAAAAAAACGGTTAATTTTTATGCGTTTGACCAACATACGCATGCATATCTACCGTTTGAATTTGTTGAAAAATGTCATCTCTTTGATTGACCGTAAGATCGAATAAACCGCGATTGTTCTCTTTCAATCGTTTAAACATTTTATCACTTGTCCACAGCTTCAACTCCAATGGATTGTAGTGTATTTGTTCGGCTCCATCGAATAGATATCGATAATTTTCGTCGAGAGTATCATTAATATTCGATAAATAATCGCGAAAATTCTCAATATTATACAATAAATATGACCGCCAATAGCTGTTGCTTTCAAATGTATCGCCAAAAAATATGTACCGATGGACCTTTAGTGCGTCGAACGTTGTTTTATTGACACCATTTTCATCTGAATCGGTTAGAACTTGATCGATTTTTTGCCATAATTTCTCCTCACTCGATAAATATTCCGTTTGTAATTCGGAAATTGTTCGAGGTCTCGTAGTCACATCATTTTGTGTAGTTACAATGTAAAATTGTCCAACGATAGCGATTATCAACAATGTAGCTTGCATTCTGTTTTCTTACTGATGTCTTGAAAATTCAAGGGAATTTTATAAAAAAAACAACACACAAAATGAAAACAAATCACAAACAAACACTTAATCACATCGAAATTTCAGCACAGAAAATATATCACGTTCGCTCAATATTTCATGACCAACTAAATACACTGGCGATAAATACACTGCGCTGAAACACTTAATTTTTTTTTCTTTGTGTTTGGACTTTCGAATGCAATTTTTAGTACAAACAAAACCGCATTTTAAGCAGAAATTATTAAAAGCTTGGACAAATGTGCGAAAAATAGAAACGATTCGCAAGTACGATATGCGAATGAGCGAGAGAAAAACATATCAAAGCTGAATGGGAGCTATCACATGGATTTGCAATGTATTGGCTACACATTTATTCAACAAAAAAAAAGAAGAAAACATCAACTTTGTGTTTACGTACGCACACACACATGCGAACGGCAACTGTCAATTGAGCTGTTTCTCTCTATTTTCACCTAGGTGAAGCTAATACATTGAACAAGCATATCGATTACATTGATATGTATGGCATATGTAAACATATGGGCTTTTGACATTTATTTGCATAATTAGCGATTCAAATGAGAGCGATCCGGTGCCGATGTGTGTATCATCTACCACACTATATAATACGCTATAAATGACGACAGACTATATTTATTATAATGGAAATGCAAACACAAAGACTTTAGTTAATAGCCGTAGTGGTGAGAGTGGCTAATAGTGCGACTGTGTCGATTAAAACCAGTAAAAAAAGAACATATTTCTCATATAAAGCGATTTAGTTGTGGATATAGCTTCTCTCACACACACACACATACTGATGCCATGCCACATCTCTCTCTCTCTCTCTCTCTCTCTTTTTTTTTCTTTCTCTGTGAGCAAAAAACAGTTTACACACAAATCAAATGTGATGTAATATTCCATGCACGTAAAACATGATTCATTGATATGAACGTGCTGTGTGCTGATTGTATTGAAATCACTCATCCAGTGACTTCATAATAATGGTGCATCACATCAAATATGCCTTTTATGTCGGCTAGGTCGTCCCAGTTGCAAGGACATTTGGGATTCACACACGCTTCATTAGTGCTTTTTGCGCGCTTATGAATTGTGAAAACAACAACATCTTCTCTTTTTTTCAGAAGAAAAATGATCTCATTGCCACATTAAATGAGTGTAAAATAATAAATAATTAGAATATAAATGCGTTTCGAAGAATTTGATAAATATGTATGTCGTTGCACCATTCTAGCATTTATTTGTTGGTTGACGCAATTCTTTCATGTCAACACGAGCCCAAATAACGAGGCCAGTGAATATGAAAAAAAAACCATGGTGTACATATTCATTCTTATCGACAGAGAGCTAGAAAGAGAGAAAGAGAGAGAGAGAGAAAAACGAACATATTTTTTTCTTCTTCCTGAAATAAATTACTGTCAACAAACAGCGTAAAGAAGATGGAATTCATCGGAAGTGGTCAGTAGTAGAAACGGCGAACAAAAAAATTATAACTAATAGCGATAATTTCATAATATATGAAACTTTCATATACGCACATTTTGAGGAAATGACACAATGTCGGGCCACGAATCATATGTATGATCTAATCGCGAGCTTTGATACTAAAACATTTTTTAGAATTTATTTTCATTCGCATCGTTAAGTATTTGGTTTGAAGCATAAAATAGATGTGTGCGGTCGAATAAAGTCAGTTGGCATAGCCAAAAAAAATTTCAATATCAAATTTAAAACGTAATAGAGTAATAAACGTAATCATTTGTTTACCCGTGAGCGCAAAATTATCTTAATATTTTTTTTTTTTGGTTCCGTTGTGTAGATTTGATGTCTTTGTCTCACTTTCTCGCTCGCTTATGCTTGTTATTGAGATTTAAACGGCCATAGCAAATATATCATATTTATTTTTTGTGAGTATTTGATATGTATTAGGTCATTCTTTTCCTTTATTTAAACGATTAAACGGTTTCACTTTCATTGCAATCACAAATGAAGCTGAATGTAGAGCACTTATATTCAGTAAATTGTTTGTTTCTTTTGTCTCATTCTTTAGTTTGTGTTCGAATTTACGTGATTAGAAATCAGTTGTGTGCGTGAGTGTTGTTTTTCCAAACAAAAAAAAAAGCGAGAAGAATGCATTTGCCGCAAAATCCTGTGATGGCACCATCGCTTTTAGTGATGTTGATGATATTACACAGTTGTAATTCGTCACCTTATTCACAACTTACAGATGTCGATATTGCAATCAAGAAATTTATAAGTAATGAGCAACGCTGGTGGAGTGATATCAATGCATCGACCAATCAAACCGTGATAAATGCAACGCTCGAGAAATTGTATAAAGATTTGGATGTCACATTAAATCTGGCTGATGTTGGAAGTGTTGGTGTTGTGACCACCATAAATCCCGAATTGGCCGAAAAAATCGAAAACATCAAACGCACACAACGTCAATCGACCAAATGGTTAACGGAGAAAAATTATCAATATGCACTTACCAATTGTGATCACATTTTACAAACCATACCGAATACATTGAGTGAAGTGTTTGATCTTACAAAAAGGCCCGATTTTTTAGCCTATTTACGAGATAATTCCGATTTTTGTCAAACAAATAAACGATTCGTGACGGCTGGCGTTGAGGATCTTAATCTTCAGAATGTGGTCATGGACTTTTACATTACCGTTGCCGAAACACTGACCAAAGGTTATATGACATCACAAATGGCATACATGGTTCAAGGTGCAAAGGCACAAGGTTCGATTTCATTAAACGATTTACCAATTAGCTTTTTGTGTTAATGTTTGTGTGTTTGTTACAGGAAAAAAATATCAACGCAAATCGACCGAATTACAACAAACATTCAATTCACAATATCAAACGCTTGAGATGAATGTTCGATCGATTGTACAGAATTTTAGTGGGGAAATTTGGTAAGTTTTATTTACACTTTTTTTTGAATGTGAAATCTCTCTATTCTTCTTCTTCTTCCAAAAAAAAGGAATTGCGACGACTTTTCAAAGGAATGTAAGTTGTATGCAACGCACTTCACGCATAAGAAATTTATTAACAAGATTGTTGCCAATTCTAAACACAGATTCGTATGCCGAAATTACAAACTTTATCCAAGGCTACGTTGACAACGAAGTGAATTTCAATCAAGATGGAACATGTCGAAAGACATGCTCGGATTATCAACAAGTTGAATACCATGTGTGCCGAAATCACACTCTCTGCATTCTTAATTATTTGGATAAAAATAAAACACGTTGTGATGGTGAAATTCGATCATGTCGGTTCATTGAATCGGATATGACAGTGTGTCCAAATGTACGTACAAACAACGTGCTGTCCGTCCTCGTGTGTTCCGTGGCGAATTTGAGTTTTTCTTTTTCATTTTGTTCCAGGAGGATGATCAACAGATGACACGTCGTTATAACTATATTCGTTATAACAGTGGTTTAATGCTCGGACAGCCGCAACACTGTCAAAATGAAGTGAAAGCAAAATCATGGATTCGATGGTTTGTGTCGTGCAGCTACTGCTTTTGCTACTGCGATCATGAAAATCAATATTCGGATCGGTTTTTCTCGTTAAGAGAAGCGGTTAGCGATATTGAACGAAATAAGTATGAGCATCTTTCTTCAATTCATCTCTTTCAATGTTTAACTTTTCGGATATTTTTTTAGAGTTGTAACTGGCATTCGATTGTTTAAGAGAGATCGTGTCATTCATCTATTCATTTCACAACGAACGATTGGAAGAAATGGCAAGATTGATGAATCAAGTAGCTCAGATGATGCCGACTATCTGGGTGACTATAATTTTGTAATTGGAGAAGGTCAACCAGACATCGATTACCATCGATTGACTTGGAATAGTCGTGGAATTGAATTGGACACAATACGAGCACAAAAAGATGAAGTTGTCACTGGTGTTCGATTCCGAATTCAAAATAATCGGATACGCTTTGAAATTCGTAAATACAAAATAACAATAATGCACCAATTTGATTTGATTTGTGTAATTAAATGAAATAATTTATTTGGTATAGGTACGACACCTTATAATAGAGAAAACGGACTTTTATCACGTGAAAGCAAGAGAACGGTTTGGCGTGGAAATAACTATCACGATAAAGAGAAAATACCAAATGATGATCTTGATGTGCCAACACGTTCACCGAAAAAATCGAAACGTGATCGAAGCCAAAACAAATATATTGAATTCACGCCAACCGATATTTACAAAGATATTGCACAAACAACCGGTACGGGCTGGACTTATTTTAAGTAATTAACGTTCAAATAAACGTGTTCATTGCAATTTTTTTCCATATTTCTTAATAGTGCCGTTCATCGATACGCAACCGGTCGAAGCGAAAATCCCAAAACCATTACGTGGAGCTGGTAAACATTTTTTTTAAATAAATAAATAAATCAGAATTAATTAAATGGTTGAATGAACAAAAATTTGATGATTTTCAGGCTTATACTACAAAACGACGCCTGGTTACGGTGGTTTTATTGGACCATTAATTATACTCCACGATGATTACTAATAATAATTTTCATGATGTACAAAATAATTAAACATTTTGTTCGTTGCACTTTCGAAGAACACCTTTTTTCGTATTAAATTTAAAAGTCTCAATGTTTTTTCGTTTTATTTGTGTTTTTGGTCGCAGCTTTTAAGACGATTGGCCATTGGGGCGTTTGTCATTCGAAACATGGTGCCATAAATATATCATAAATATTCATTGTTGTATCTTTCATTTGCACTATGTGTAGCTGTTGATACGATGTGGCTTTATGTCATTTTTTATGACTAACTAAACCGAGCCACTACTTAAACGCTTTTATTACTATGTTTAATGGCAAAATAAATTGAATGATCGCACAAATGAATTTCGCAGAATTTCGTTTAATTTTCTGCAACACATTTGCTTAATTTGTGTGCTCGCTTCTGGTTGCTTTTTTCGAATTCTTCTTCTTCATTTTTTTTTTTCAGTAGCAATTTTCTGACCGAATCACGCCCAGACTTATACTATGTAAATCATTTGTTTTGGTATTTTTCGTCGTGTTTGTTGATTATACATCGGTGAAAACATGACATGTGTGGACTTCAAACTCACTTTGACCATATATTCATTCTCATTTAAGGCGTCCAACAAGTAAGTATGCGATGACACATGCGTGTGTACTTATTTCGGACAATTTTTTTTTCTCTCTCTGTGTGCTGGTCATTAATTAAGGTTACTCTATTTTGTTGTTGTCAGACATTTGAAAAATGCATTTTATTTGGTTTGGCGTATTTTTATTGCTGACGAATGTGCTTGGCGATCAACAAATTCTCATTGATAAATTCACCAGTGAATATTTTCCGAAAGAAAAAGCATTATGGAAAAAAATCGATACACAGCTCATATTGCTGGATCGTGGCAGTTTACTCAATGAAATCTATCGCGAGCATTCACGTATACTAAGTGATTTTGGTGAAAATAATGAATTCGGTGAAATTAAAGTGTTGAAAAGTTTAGGCGTGCAGAAATATAGTAGACTCATCAGCACCGTACAAACGATTACTTCAAATGTGAAAAATATTAAAGAGCATTTGGCTAAAGCTGAATACACCAAACTAGTTGATTTGGCCAAAAATGCCGCTAACCAAATACAAAACTCGGCCAATGACTTACATAATATCATCGGAAAACGATCGTTTTGGATTGATTTAGTTGATGTAAGACACTCTTTTTCTTGTTTTTATATTACGAAAAAAAAAATGTTTGAATTAAAATGTAAAAATTATAATCGAAGGGCAATGGCGAATCGTGCCTATTGGGCGATGTAAGAAACAGCAATGAACTGGTTTTTGACGTATACAAAGAGCTATCGGCGATCTCACTGGAAAGTTACATTAATCTTCAATTGACGCACATGATTTTAAAAGTGACCCAAGAAGGTAAGCACTAAACGGTCACATCAAAGTGTAGTTTAGGTGTTAATTACACTTTTTCGGTCTTTTTTTTTATTTTTAGGCGGTGTCACACAACTCAGAGCAGATGATGTGCGAAAAACATTCTACGATGGTTATGTTCAAACGCAAAATACGGTGAAAGATGTTTTGAAAACTGTTAGCAGCAAAAAGTGGATTTGTGATAAGCGAAATTTTCCAAGTATGTTAGCCGTGCATATAGGCATTAAAAAAACTAATATGAATATTTTTTGTTCGAAAAAATAATTAGTCATCTATCATCAAATTAACCGGTTCATCCAGGGCTATGTTGAAAATGAAATCAATTTGAATGGTGAGCAAAGCTGCAGCCAACACTGTTCCGACTATAAAAATGCGCACAGTTTTGGTTGTGCCGAAGGTACATTGTGCGCTGAATCACACATCGATCAGGCTAGCACACTATGCAAAGGAACAATTTACAATTGTGCTGCCATGGATGACGAGCTTACTGTTTGTCCGGTACTTTAATTTCGATGCCTCACCAAACACTATGATTTCTTTTATGTTTGTTCTATAATTTTTAGTCGTTACAAAAACTGAGTACACGACGATATGACTACGTACGCTCTTCAAATGGGAAAACCTTTGGAAAATACGATAACTGTTTACAAACGGCTCGAGTAAGTTTTATGACATTTTTGTAATTAACAAAACACGCAAAAAAAACACACACACATCACAAACAATTCTAACGTGAAAATGATTATTTTACCATCCAGGTTAGATCGTGGAGAAAATCTATCTGGCTAAATAAGTGTTCAAATTGTTTCTGCTACTGTGATGAGCGCAGCGATAAATCGGATCGATATTTTAGCTTGCATGATGTCACCGCAAACATTCAGGAAAATCGGTAAGAAAAAAACAAACACACACTAAACAACTAACGACTTCTGTTTAACTTCGGTTGTTCTATTGCTCTCCATCCCTCGACTTTTTGCAAAAACGTTTTTTTTTTTTTGCGTATCGAATAGAATCGTGACAGGTGTTGCAATCACGAAACGCAACCGAATGATACAATTTCTCATCGGTGAAAGTATATTATTGCCATACGGAAAACTTAATACGACAATTACACACGAAACCGGCGACTTAAATGTCAATAATCGATATGTTGGCCATCCGGAGTTTAGCATTGATAGCAACGATGTTCGAAATGGCATTGACTTCCATACACTTACTTACGAAAAGCGATCGATTAACTTAGATTCGGTTTTGGCACCGGCTGGTAAACTCGTCACTGGTGTGAGATTCCATGTTTTAGACGACGGTGTATTGACAATTCAAATTCGTTGCACTGATTTCGATTATCAAACGGGTGAGTTGAAGAAAAAACCGGAGGCTAAACAACAAGAATTTGAAAAAAATATCACGTATAAATTCGCAGGCAAATTGAAAAATCTGGACAAAAGCATTTGGATTCATAACGACGTAAAACTACACAGGGAAATACTTTTGGATGAACCCGACCACCCGATTCGTGGCACCAGACCCTTAGAGCCTGATTGGACACCAAATCAATTCATTAAATTTCAACCAAGCGATATTGGTAAAGATGCAGCACAAGTGACGGTCCCCTTTTTGGATGGCACATTTGTCGAGGGGATTTCCACACTATTGACTGGCATCGGTCTCTATTATAAAGGACAACCGCACTTCGGCGGAGCTATTGCGCCATATTTGGTTGCCTTCGACTTTGGATCATTGATAAATCCAATTCAAAATGTTTAAACAAAACAACTCAAATTGTAATCATTTCTTAGAATTGTTATTGAGAGAATTCAATTTCCGTTATGAGGCATGTGGCAAAATTAAAAAAATAAAATAAAATAGACAAATACCAAGCAAACAAACAACATCATTTTTAATCTGTATAAACGCAGAAGAAGTAAATAAGACGCTAAATGGTCATCAATTACACTAGAACCATCAAATCAACACACACACATCTACACAATTGCTCGATTTTTTTCAATGTGTGTTTGCGAATCATGACCTTCTGATATTCATTTCGAAGCGGTTTTGTGACATTTAACGATTGAAAAAAAAAAAAACAACTTTGTAAACGAAGAGGAAGGAAAAAATCAACAACAACAAGTACACGATTATGAATGGCTCTCACGCACGCAATGCCCCGGAACAGAGAGGCATTCGGGTGCCGTTTGCTATTTTTCACAATCTGCTTTTCTCACAGCAATATATGCATGCATATGTGTATGTCTGTTCTTTTTCCGTTTCGTTGTTTTTTAACTTTCGTCATTTCTTTATATGCAAAAAAAAAAAAACAGCGAGCGACGACAACAATTCAATGAAATTCCTGGCAAAATAAATTGTCTACAAACATACAACGGAATCGCAAAACAAAGCGACAACAAAACGACAACGAGACCAACAATTTTGATAACGAGAACCGATTCACAAATCAACATCAATTGATACAGTGTGGCACACACGCACACACATCAATCCGATCATCCAAGAATGATTTTTTAAATAAAATAGATGCTCGTGCCCGATTCACAATTAGTTTGATAATTCATTTCGATCGATTCTAATTAATTGACGAATCGCTCGCAAACGCAACATCAACGATAAAACCAAACCCAGTGTAATAATAATAATAATATTAGTCGTTGTGTAAAGAAAAATAAAGAATTCTGTTTTAGTTCCGTCGCTTTGACGTGCCAGCTCAAAAATGAGGTTAATGAATGCATTGGCGGCAATTATTTTAGTTAGTTTTGTGTCGGTGCAGGCAAATATTTTCACGAAACATGGACGAAATACAAACGTTCCGCCAACATTGTTGGATGTAATGCGACAACGATATTTTTCAACCGAAGATGCTCTTTGGCGTGCCATTACGGGTGGCTTGGAAATTTCACAAGTATTGCAGCAAATTCACAGTGGTCATCGTACATTTTTGAGCGATAGTTTTGCGGAGCGCTCTTGTTACTTTTCCACATTTGATCCGGATGAAAAGGTGCTCGACGATACGATTCGGAAAATCAATCAATCGGTCGCAACAACCATTGAAAACTACTTACATTCAAGCCGATCACGTTTCCGTGAAACCGATTCACTCGCAATAAGCGCCCGAAATTTCAATTTAACGTTTCAACTGGATAAATTATTTGAAATCACCGGCACCACCGATTTCTATATGACCATTCGAAGTGTAAGTTAATTTATACTGATTTTTTGTTTTGCGTTTTTTGTAATTTGAAGTTCTTTCATTTTATTCATTTATAAATTGCGCGCTTCTTTTTGATATATGCATATATTTAAGCCTGTTTACATCATTATTATCATCAATTCGAAACGTTTTAATAAGAAAAGCAACACGAACAGTAGAAGAAGAAAAAAAAACAATGAGAAATAGAGAGGAAACACACAGAAATATGGTAATCATCAAAATGATGCCATCGTTTATCGTGATGTGTCGATTCATTTTATTTTGTCTGATCTGGTTGTTGTTTTCTTCGTATTGTTCTCGGTCAAGCTGATTCAGGCCATGTTCCACTGAATTCTGACTGACTGTTTCTAATATTTTGTTGTTTTGAGAATTCCGAATGAAACATCAAAAACATGCATATTTATACTCGTCACATTGGATGGCTTTGCTCTATTCAATCAGTGTTATTCGGTCGACTCAGTCGATTGTGTGTGTGTAACTCTTTTTGTCGTTCTCAATTATTGTAGTGAAGAAAAAAAAATGTGTTCGTTGCGCAAAATGCAACTGCAAATTTCCGCATTAATATTATTGTTGGCGTTGACAACGGCATCGACGGTATCGCACACAAAAGGTGTGAACAAAAAAGAAGAACGATTAAAACCATCATCAACGTCGTCAACATTATCACCGTTACCGCCACCATCTGTAATAGAAGTGTCGCTAATTGATTCGATACGACGACACTATTTAGCACTGGAAATCGATTTGTGGCATTTAATGGACAGTGGCATCGATACCGCATACATTTTACAGCAAATGCATAACATTCATTTAACATTTTTTGGCGAACATTTTCGCGAATTCAATGTTACATTTAACGATTATGCAGTCGATCGACAAACTCAATTAATATCGATCATTGATACTGTCAATGGTTTTGTATCGATGACGACGAATAAATGCCTACATCAAAATCCATTAGAATTTAATGAAACCGCCGCCATTGAGATGGCTCAACGTCAACTCAATTTAACACATCAAATCGATAGACTTTTTACTCTGACCGAAACAATGGATTTCTATGAAACTATTAGAAATGTAAGTGATTTTGATTAGAAAAATACGCCACATTTCATGGCCGAAAAATATTTTGTGTGAGTGTTTTTTTTTTTTTTTCAAAAAGTTTGTGCGTCCTTCAATTGCGATAATACTTTACACACGCTACGAATTTTTTTTTTTGCTGCGTTTTCCGTCATAGCACAGGATGCAAGATGATCGGTTTTTTTGGGCAAATTTTGGCTGTTGTTTATTTGAGAGATTTGCTAAATATTTTTTCAAATCAGTCAAAAAAGTATAAGAGCACAGTACTTACTTCCAGTTCGGTTGTTATTCAGTAAAACACATTCCAACCAACAAAATTTATTACATTTATTTAGTATTTTGTCCTCAATTTGTGTTTATTTTGGTGCTCATTTAATTCAATCGAATCCGTACACGAAGTTTTTGAGCATTTTCATTTGTCACAAGAAAACATGACGTTATTTTATGTGCTTGGATTTATTTGTTTCATTTTGAATTCGATGTGTTCCGTTAATTCTGTCACAATGACAACTGAAATTACATCAATGGACGGTTCGTCAAACGAATATGTGAACAGTTCTTCCGCCGAATATACAGTCGTTCCGTACACTAATAGTGAACAAGAAATCAATGCAACTGTAGATGCTGGTTTATATAACACTTTATCGAATTTGAAACGTGTACTTGATGGTAAACCTATAGACATCGACGACGACACATCAACGCTGTCTGCAAATGGATTCACATTTATCAATCAAGTGAAACAACAATATATCAAATTGGAGCAGCTTGTTTGGGCTTTAATAGGCTTACAGCTAAATGCAAGCCAGTCTGAAATTGATTTATTCGAATTGGTTCGCATCAGCCATGAATTGCTACTCAATGGAAATTTACGGGAAAATGCGGTTGATTTGAATTTATTCGATGGATACGATGAACTTCTTTTTTATTCTATTCAAACGGTTAATGAGTCAGTTCAACAAGCTAAAAAAACATATTTAAATAATCCGGCATTTTTAAGCGATCCGGAAAACGAACTTGACATTATGGTAGTTGTTCAAGATCAGTTGGATTTGAGGAAAACACTGGATGATATTTACTACATTTCATCGAATGTAATTTATATGCAAAGTGTGAGTGTTTGTTTATTACAAAACAACGCTTAATCCTTGAACGCTCTTCATAGTTTAATCATTCTTTTTGTCATAATTTTTTGATAAGAAGCTTGCTCTTATTTAGTTTATTTCAATGAATAATTTTTGATTTTTTTTTTTTTTTTTTTTTCAGAAAGCACAACTTAAGCAATGCGATAAAAATGTGATGGTCATTAAATCGGCAAATCAACTCATCTACGAATATTATCACGATATTTCAATGGCTGAACTTAAGGCCTATGCACTTGTTCAATTGTCTTTCATGTTCTTTACTGTGTACAATCGAGGTAAGCATTTAAATTTAAGTTTTGCAAAATCAATTTTTTAAATTGTCTCTCTATTTTTATATTTTCGTGTATTTTTGTTTCGCAGGCAACTTCCGAAAACAGGCACAAGATTTGCGAGACAAATATTTAGACCGAACCCGTCAAACCCAGGATATTGTTCGACATTTGTTAGAAAATTCGAAGCGTGACATTTGGCGATGTGATCCAAATCACTATACCGTTGGAACATACGAAGAGGTCACAAACTTCTTACAGGGCTACATTGACAACGAAGTTAACTTGAATGAAGAATCAACATGCCAAAATACATGCGAAGATTATAAAGCAACGAAAAATTATCGATGCTTTGACGGAACTTACTGTGCACTAAAATCAGAGGGTGCCGAACGGGATCGTGCAACGTGCAAAGGAAAAATTGTCGACTGTCAATTCATGGGAAACGATTTAAATGTTTGTACAACGGTAAGTTTTTTTTTTGCTTTTTTGTAATGCAGTCGTGAAACAATTGAACCAAACTGATTGCAATTTGACCGTGCACAGCCAAACCAATTCTCGAGACGGTATGACGTACTTCACTATGATAATGGAAATATTCTTGGTCGAAATGGAACTGAAGTATATGAAAAATGCGCGGATGAATCAACACGGGTAAGGGCTATCCACTTTTCAAGTACAATATTCTTTATATTACAAGTTGAATGACACTCGGTGTGTGTGTGTGTGTGTTCCTTCTTTTATTTTTAAATATTATATCCCGAATTGAAATCTATAGATACAATCATGGACTCGTTGGGTGGTGAAATGTGCAAATTGCTTCTGTTTATGCGATGATCAAAAACATTCGGAGCGACATTTCAGTTTGCGTGATGTTGTGTCTGACATCAAGAAAAATCGGTATGTTTTACTATGATGATTATCTCTTTGATGTTAATGAGAAGAGTCCTTTGTGACAATTAATGCTTTTTTTCCTTGTTCCCCTTTCTCTCTTTTGTTGTTTCAATTCCCAACATTTAGAGTGGTGTCGGCAGTCGCTTTGAGGAAGTTCCAAGGCATATTTCATTTGGTGATTGTTGAACGTGAACTCAAACCATATGCAACGTTAAATGTAACAAATCCCACGTGGCATTTGTACAATGCCGTTGAATATTTTCATATTCATGATGCGCTTGTACGCGAGGGAATCGACTATCACACACTGGTAAATGTCAATTTTGTTATTGCCATTATGAAAAAAGAAAAATGTCCAACGAAATCAAATAATTGTTCGCTTTATTGTAGACCTGGCAGAATCGTTCAATTAATTTAGATACAGTTGAAGTGCCAACGGGCAAAGTGGTGACAGGTGTCCGTTTTCGTGTGTTTGATGGTGCAATCACATTACAAGTTCGAGCAACGGATTTCGATTTCATTTCGGGACAATTGAAAAATGTGGATCACAGTTTTTGGTATATGAATGATAACAGTGTAGAACGAACGGAAATACCATTAGATAGTCTTGACATTCCGACTCTATCACCCGAAAAATCGATTCCAAATGTATTGACGAAGCGGTTTGTGAAATTTGGACCAAGCGATAAATATAAAGATCTTGCCCAGACCACCATACCATTCATTGACAGTCAATTGGTCGAATCACACAATCCAATGCCATTGTCTGGCGTTGGTTTATTCTGGAAAGCATTTCCCGGTTACGGCGGTTTTGTAGCACCAAAAATTTTAAACTATAACTATGGTGCACATATTGGCGCCTTAAGCAAGTCCTAAGTCTGAAATCGATAACAAAGCGAAAACAAAAACCATATCCACCTACAAGCCGTAATTACAACCGGTAATAATTAGTCGAATAAGCCAAATAATATATTGTAATGACGGTGTTAACGAAAAATCGATAGAAAAAAACACAGGTATTATAGCACGGTCATTTTTTTATTTAAGTAATTCACCCAAAAATCATTTCTCTCTCTATACTTTTGTTTTATTCATTCCGACTTTGATTTTTCCGAATTGAAATTCGAGGGTTTCCACGCAAAAGAAATTCCAGCATATTGCGTTTTATTGCGAATTTTTTTTAGATCGTGTGCACTCAATAAAAGGGAGAAATAGTTTAATGCGAAGAAGAATAGGAAGTTGGGAAAGAGTAGACAGTTTAAATGAACCAAATAAGTTGAATAAATGTAGAGTTTTATGTAATAAGTCCAATAAAAACTGTTTTTATTTTTATTTTATTTTCACCCAAGTAGAACCCAATAAAGCGGGTCATGTAAATACTTAAAATAATTCGTTTTTCGTCGACGAATTGTTTGTCATTGTATTGCGTGCAACAATTACACGCCACAGATTATAATGGTTGCTTTTAAGGGTGCATGTGAATATTCAGCAATACCCGAGCACACTTCAAATAGAGTACCATAAAATAATTGACCCAATAGGTGAATTGCTGTTTCGTTTTTTTTTGCATGGAACCGTTTTTCTACTGTATTTAAAAGAACAATAAATATTCGCAGTGCTTTAAATGCACTCTTTCGTGTATATTTTTCATGTCCTAAACTGATATGCATTTTTTCAGCTTGATTTTGAATGTTGAATATAAAATTTGACATAAACGGCGCTTGTTTTCAACTGTTCAAACACGTACGTATGTTATCGATCAAATGGATAATTGCGGCCAGCTTATTTCCAGATATATTTAAACGTTTTTATCTTTTATATCTCGTTCTCGCTTGCCGCGGCTGTTACATTCGACACTGTGATTGGTAATAAATACAATGAGCCGCAGACAAATCGATTTGGTTTTGATAAAAATAGCGCAAATGTGTTTGCTTTCTGCATTTATAATGTAAATTTTTATGTGAATCGTATTATTTGCGGTAGGACGATAAATTTGATAGACTTCGTGCGCGCAGAAATCAAAAGCCAAAACATAATTTATCATTTGTAATTTGTTTTGTAATGGAAAATCTACAGTCAAAGTTGATAACCGATGTGATATTTACGCTTCATGTAAAGCAACAATTCGTTCCTTCTCTGTCTACCTCATCAATCTCTTTTAATGCATGATGCATCGAAGTTTTAAAGCTCTCGACGATGCCTTTAAATTCACACAGAGTATTTTTTACGGTGAACGATTGCAATGAAAAGTGTCTTGCAGAAAATGAATGACCATTTTTACAGTGTTTTATCTTGCAAACTGATAACTGGAAGCGTTCTTCTTCAACTCTTTTATTCTCTGCAGATGATAGAATTACGATAATTGTTTTTTTTACTTGAAAATGCTTCGCGTCGGATGGCATTCTGCAGTATTTTCACCGAAATAAACTCAACTTCAAATGAGAATTCAAATTGCTTTCGATAACAATACTTTGTATTCCCCCATCTATGGTTCTTAATTGATAAAGTTGAATAAATAAAAAGTTTCTGGTTGCAGGGTAGAATACTTACCACAAAGAATAGAGTGACATAGACAAGAATCAGTTTTACACCATCGACGTCGATGTCGTCGACAGCATCATCACAAAATCTAGAACAATCTCGATTGCTAACTCACTTCTATATATTTTCACCACTTTTTTTTTGTAGAAGAATATGCGTGCCGAATATCACAATTATCTTATTGCAAATTGGAAAAGTGGATAAAAAGTCGAATCAAATATAAATGTCGGTGATTACAGTGATACTCGATATTTTTTTGGGTTCAGGATAAAAAAGGGTCCAATTAACTTCGAGAAAGGCACGTCACATTTAGAGACAGGGAAAAAACTAAATTGCGTTTTTTTCGGTTCAATTTATTGTATATCAATTTGAATCAAATCACACATCTGAATCACAATATATTTTAAAAATGTTATTAGAAAGTCGTTAGTTCATTGCTTCAATTTTAGACACCAATTCACTTTGATAATTCTCTGGATAAAGTAGCAAAAAAAAAAGCCAAGCACATTCCATAAATTGGTGAAATTTTAGAATATTTACAAAATTCAAGCAAAAAAACAACAGTGAAAGCACTGTCCAAAGAAAAACTGCCATACGAGGCGATAGTGTTCGAGTATTGTGAGAGTTTTTCCTTTTTATTTAAGCGATTTAATGTTGACACTGCTTACACGCAGTCATGCACGAAACTAATGTCGATCTGATTGAGCTCTTCTGTTGTTAGGTGCGCTTTCTAATTATGTAGCCGTGTGCACGCTCGAAAAGAAATACACTTTTCTGATTCTCCTCGCTCTTTCGATCTCGCCAAGCTTGACTCTCTCGCTCGCTCTCTCGTGTGTTTATGTCACAACAAATACAATATCAAAAATGCATACTTTCCGTAATACATAAGCAACAGCTAAAGCTTCTCAGTTCTCATTTCAACAGGAGGTGGCCATGTGCCGTGCCATGCCACAGCATACATACATACAACCACACTGAAGCGCTCACTCACACACACTCATCCATATCAAATTGAACTTTCAACGATTTTCCATAGCTGCGTCATACTATTTTTTATACAAATTTTCTCGGCAATTTGATTCTCTTGTTTTTCCGAAAAAAACAAATTCCATCGAAACAAATTGTGCAAGAGCAGACAAAACCTAGTGCTTGGCTCTGTATTCCAACGTAATCCATCGCGCGCGAGAAACCATTAAAAGCTTAAACAGTTTAATGGGCAAAAAACGAAAGCATTTTTCACAATTGAAACGTTTATACAAAACGAGAGGTTCGTGTTCACAGACATTAATGTTGGCGCGGCTAAGATTGGGTCGATGCGGTTCGGCTTAGCTCAACTTGCTAAATACATGCCACACAACTAGGACGATAACAATTCAGCCTGATCGTACACATATGAATATAATCATTTACGGCTATGCACAAACGGAATTAAGCCCACGAAATATTTATTCATATGAAATTCTTTTATAAAAATAACCATATTTTGTGTTGATATACCGATACAAAAGCTTTTTGGTCATTTTATACACACACGCGCGCGCCTATCCTTTATCGCGTATCATGAAATAAAATTGAAAACCATCCACGGGGAAACACGTTGAGCAACATGGATTTATAAAAAAAATCCCATGCAACAAATGTAGTTTTACCTGACTTATCAAGCCGTTTCGGTTTGCATGTGTGTTGCTTAATTTTTAATTCATTAGCAGTCTGTATATTGACCCCCTCACATAACACTGAATTGAGTTGGAAGAATACTCCTTCTCACTCTCACACATTCACCGGATTTTCTTTTGTTTTATTTCCATGAGATACTTGAACCAAAAATACATGTTCATTCATTTCAACTCTCTTCACTGCCATAATAATTCAAAGAAAACGAGTCTCTTTTATTTTTAATTTCTCACCCATTCATGTCGATGACTGTGTACCATTCCATTACGAACAAGCGCTAGCGCGCTCTTTTTTCATATTTGTTTGTTTTCATTCTTCGCTCTTTTTCCTTTTCATTCTTTTTCTTCTCTTCATTCAATGTGAAGAATGGTTGCGTTTAAGAGCCTAATCGACAAGAGGCACAGGATTTTTATATGACTATTGCAATAAGGCAATTTTTTGTTGTTGTTGGAACGGAAAACGCATGCCAATACGTTAAAGCAATGAAACATTTGTGTTTAAAACATACCTAAAATCACACATACGCTCAATTTTAAATTGGAATATGATAAAATGATAAATGGCACGGCGAGGGAAATTTTTTTTAAATGTAAAAAGTTTTGCAACAATGCATACGCGTATATATCGAAATGTATGTAGAAGTTTTTTTTATTTGGATCTGCTGTGTGAGCATGTGCACAAATAACGGTGATTCGCGCACTTCGAATGCATTTCTCAATGCAAGTGTATGTGTATGTAAATAGGCATCAAGTCGGTGGATGTTGCATAGGCTCACATTTGGTTGGGACGGTGTGTGTGTGCGCAATGTGCATGTATGACGATGTTTTTATATAAAACGACTGTAACCTAGTTTTACGAAGTACATAGTGCATATACAAATAAACTCCATCCTGAAAATAAATGGATGAATGTAAAACGTTTAAAAAGAATGGATAATTATTTAAGATAAAAACAAATAAACAGTGTTCTTTTTCTTCACTTCTCTGTCACTGTCATTACTTCTTCTTCTTTTTCGTCTTTTCCTCCGGCTGAGCGCGAATTAAAACTATAATTATGTTAACTCAACGAGATGAAAAATGTTGCTTTGAATTACAATGAAAACAAAACGAGAACAAATTTGAATGGCAACATTGTTTCGATATCGACACACTGCTAGAAAGAAATGAGAGCATATATAAAATTGTGTCTCCGTCAATCAATCAATTCATGCTGTATCGTTCAATTCAACTTCCATATGAAGTCAATCACGAGTTACGGCCATCGATTGTCTATAAATAGCTAACCTTGATTGCGACAATGTCCGAGCATTCGGCTATTTTTATCAATGCGTCCAGAGTGATGACGTAATGCATACACAACCGCTATCATAAGCCAGTTAGAAAACCTTGTTCCAATTACAGGATTTTATCTTCAACTCGCTCTCCCTGACCAACAAAACAAAAAAAAAACGATTTAAAAACAGGAACATATTTCGTTCACTGTTCACTTATTTTATCACACACAGAACTTCGTTAAGTGCAACAGTAGTTACAGTTATTCAACATTACACGTTGCACTCATTTTGAAATTAGATTTCAATGTCGTGACACTTTTTGCACTCATTGGTTACTGTGTGCACACGCTTTGATGCAACACCAACCCCATTTATAAACAAGAAGAGAAAAAAAAACTGGAATGCTAAATTGTCATTGCAAACATTACCTTCATTCCACACAAAATGATGGCATTCAACACAATGCAGATGATATTAATTTTATACCCTTTTGATTTAACCGTCCATTGTTTAGGTACATTTGTTAGTCGTTTTTAACTTTATTTTCTCTTCTTCGCCTCATCCACCCCCCTCTGTGTGTCATATAAGTGAGAATGCCATACAAACAGAGAAAAGGATAGGCGGTTGTTTCAATTAAAATGATGAAAGCCATTCACTTTCAAGACACATTCCGAAGTGATGAAATGTTTCAGCCTTGTCCTTACTGATGAATACAGATTCCTTGTCTTCTTTTCATTTAAATATCATCCATGAATGAAACAGTCATTTTCATATCAATTCTTTCCATTTTATATATTTATCCTATTTTGTTCATTTTTTTGTACACTATTTGAAATATGAATTTTTTTAATCCGTTTTTAGAAAGAGAATTGGTTATTAAAAATAGCGTCCATCAATAGATAATATCAAATTAGCTAGACAGGGCTCAGACAGGGATTTTTCAAGCCTTTATTTACTGAGCTACTTCTATCGATTTTTGTTCTTCTTTCTTCTTTTTTTTTACTTTTTGATGATGTTGAAATGAGATGATGAATGGAAAGTGCATGAAATTCATGTTTATAAATTATACAACAACAATTCACTCGATGTTGATTTATTTTTTTTTCTCATAAAAATCGAAAACTTCACCACCTTCAAGCCCCAAATCGTCAGCTGTTTCTTTGAAATTTATGAATTCACCATCGAATCTGTAATGATAAACACATTGATTGTTACAGTTTATCCAATTTTTTTGTGAGTTCATTTAAAATGTTCTTGGTGAAAAATCGAGACATGGCGGAAACATTTCAATATTGAAAAAATGTCATAGATTTGTTTAAAAAATAGGAATTGTGAATAAATCGAATGACTATGATGGACGTCTGTCTGCTATACCATATGACAGACTCCTCTCGAATCTACCTATATTTCTGTTAAAGTATAGACTATAATCACTTCTTGCTTACATTTTCTTTTCATTGAAAATTGAACTTTTTCCACATGAGTTTGGTCGGAATTACAGGTTTCTGAGTAGAACGTTTTCAATAGATTGAACTGAATTTCACCATGCTCGTTGTTTGATTTTTCCACTCAAGTAAACACAAATACAACACTTACTCGATGAGAACTTTATTTACATCACACTTAAATTCTTCGGCGCATGCAAATGCAAGTGTAATCAGCTGATCGGTTGAACCAATGTATGTGATAAACGGTCGTTTTCGACCTGCGCTCTGGATTTTAATTTCCATTTTACCCGCGTTTGCATTTGCTAATGATTTAGCAGTTGTCTTGCTTTTGGACGCCATATCGGTGATGTGTGCCTCTATACAAATTAAAAAAAAAAAAAACCGCAAAAATATAAACATTGTGTATTCGTTTATGAAGTTCCCAATAAAAAAAAATACATACGCAGAACTAAGCCTTGAACATAATTAATTGCTTGCGGTGTGTCCGATTCATAAACGGTGTTTTCTTTGAACATCAATCTAACATGATCGGATGGTACTTTCTTTTTATCGCAAATTTGACCGATTAATACAGAAAACTTTTGGAACTGTAAAGCAATTTTCAAATGTCAATATCATGGTTGTGAATGAAAAATCGATTGAACATACCTTATTCATGAAAAAGTGCTCAATTTTACCATTGATTCGTACGCTAACCTTCAAATCCATACTTTCTTCGACCGAAACAACTGATGCGGTTGCTAAATTTCGTGTTACATTTACAGCTGGTCCACCAATAAATTCGTCATCGCAATCAAGAACAATTAAATTTGGATTGTATGGTCGACGTGTTGGACCATTTGAGGTAGCCGGTTCATCGGAATCTTCTGAATCCAAATCGGATAAATCTGAATCAACGATACGTCGTTGTCGACGACCTCTGGTTGTTCGTTTTTTCGGCGATTTCTTTTTCGATGCCAGTCTTTCTTTTTGTACTTGGACTCGTTTGGTCTGGACCATTTTACTGTTTAGTGTGTCTAAATAAAAATCATACATTTTAAAATTATATATACATTTTAAAACGCATTACATACCACCAATCTTTTTAAGTCGTCTTGCTGCCAACTTTTGACCTTTAACTGGCACAAACGATACCCCATTTGAATCTGAATCACTGTCATCGTCATCGCCGCCCATTTTGGGGTTTTTACCATTTTTTTGTGATTTTTTCTCGGCTACCAAATCAGACATATCAAGATCAAAGCTATCATTTACGCTTGATTGTAATGACGTGTCCGGCATATCATTCAAATTTAAGTTATTATTACCTTTGAATAAAATTAAAAAAAAAAAAGAAATCAACGATTGTTGTGGAAAAACAATGCTTTCTTTGTTATTCTGTTTCTTACCGTTGAGAAAATTATCGAGACCCGAAAACATCTTTGTTGTGTATGTTTTTTTTTGTTGTAGAATTAAATAGAAAAAGATTGCAACAAATCCTTACGATTTCGAACTAATTTTGTGAAAACGTTCAACAATTAATCGATAAACGACGCCAATTTGTACAAAATAAACATTTGCTTTGTTATTTAAGAAATGAACACATAAACTATTCGTACAAAATGTTGTTTGCAACGAGACTCACGAAACTAAAAACAATGGTGCAGATACATTGACAAGCGAAATCGTGGTTTTTATTTTCAAATACCCACAGATGTCGCCACATCCAATTGATCGAATTAAGTTTGAATTTCATTTTAAATGTGAACAAAAATACGAAAAAAATAATATTTAATTGAATCAACACGATAAATTCCATTTGGATTACCATTTTTTTAGTGTGTCTAAAACAATAAGAAAGATATTTATCATCCATCATTAAAAATTGAAAAGTTTATTCAATGACATTTGAATCTGTATTATACAGTGCTACCAACACCGGTGTATTAATATTATGATCGAGAACTTGGTTTCTGTTTATGAAATGGTATTTGTGTTTTCGCTTGATAGTTCATCAACAAGTGTGTATTGTTGTGCAAATTGGTTTCATTGAATTCATCCGATTTTAATTGGAACTTTTGTTTGTTTGGTGTGTTCATCACTCTATCGAAGAAAAAAAGAGATCAGCAATGGTAAGATCCGTAATTAAATTATAAACCACAATTATTTTACATTTAAATATTGATCCATTTCAGGCTCGTTATTTCAAAGAACAAGACATCGATGGTAAGTGGTATTGTCTTTGGAACAAAAGCAATGAATAAATTAGAAAATAGGTGACATAAGCAGTGACCTGATTTCGTTGGCTTTCTTCTACTTCAAGATTTCTTCATTGCTGCTCATACTCAAACTGAACTAAATTACCTACTTTTGTGTGTGTGTTTAATTTTCAGAGTTTCGTGAGTGCTTTTATCTGTTCGCTCGTTCCGGTCAAATAACCACACTCGATGAATTAACGGTTATAATGCGTTCGCTTGGCTTATCGCCAACAATTAAGGAACTAACACGATACTTACGCAAGAAAAATGGCCGAATGAGTTTTGCCGATTTCCTCGATGTAATGCATCAACATTCAAAGGTGGAAAATCTACCGGATGAAGTGATCGATGCATTCAAAGCGGCCGATTTGGATAATAAAGGAACCATACCAGCGAAACAATTACGACACTTGTTGCAAAATTGGGGCGAAGGTTTATCGATCCGTGAAATTGATAATATTTTCCGTGAGGCAAATGTTCAAAATAATGGTTCGGTGCATTATAGTGATTTTGTTAAAATTGCATGCGCCCCAGTGCCCGATTACTACTGAAAACATATGTGTGTGTGTGTGTGAAATGAATCAATACATTTCTGTATTATCTAGAATGGACAGTATGATTTTAAATCGCCTTTATTCAATTTAGTATGCATTTGTTTTTTTTTATTCAGTCTGAAGATGTGTGTGAGTGGGAGTGTGTGTTTGATTTATTCAATTCTTATAATTAGAATCATTTAGTATGATCTACAATCGCAGTATATTTGATCATATTTTTTTTTTGCTACGGTGAATTTCAACTGATTTGAGTTTTGCCTTAGAAGAGTTCTGGTTCTTTTTAATGAGTTACTGCCTGATAATAATATCAAATAGTTAATTCTAAATAGATGGTTATAATTATATTTTTTGTGTTGCGTAAAAATGTCTAGTTTTCTTACTTTCAATTTCTTTCGCTCTTTTGTGATTAAATATATTCCGTTTTGTTTTTAAATGTACTAAGTACTTAATATTTTTCAAAGAGAATGAAAAATCCGGTTTTCATGCAATGATTTTTTTTATATAAACTATTCAAAATTATTACCATCTATTTTATTATGAAAGATAGCTTTAGATTTGAAGTAATGAGCAATCGATTTTAGAGCCATTTGAGATAGAAAAAAATTGACTTGGTTTTTGCATGTATTTTTTTTTTCTTAAAAAAGACGAAATTTTATGTGGAGCTTGGCTCAATGATGAATAAAGAACTAAATTACAAAATGAAATTTGTTTGATTTTTTTTAAGAGAAAATAATCGAATTATCAAAAGAAGTAATCTCACATTTTCGATTTAAAATGATTGGCGAATTGAATCAACGGAGCCATTCATCGCTTTTTTCCGCTTTGAAAAAAAAAATGATTTTATATTTCTCGTAAAATTTTTCGCTGTCTGAAAGTATTGTCATCTATGTCTCTGATCAAACATCGAACATTAAATAAATATTCGAATTACATAATCAAATATATTTTCACAAACAAAAAAATAAAACGATATAAATGTCTACGTGTTTTTTTTTTCTTTTAAAAAAAATATCTACAAATTACTTGTTTTTTTATTATGGAAACCGCATAATTTCCATCTAATTCAAAGAAAATATATGCTGATTTGGCGCGACTGGTGAAACCATGAAAAAACAAACCAAATCACTCTAATATTCGGTGTAAACTTCTATTTCAACTGATTATTTAAATCGGTTTAACTCCATTTGCATCAGTGTGAATGTGTAATTGAGATATAAAAATGATGCTTTTCACGATAATTGGCAAGGCGTTAAGTATTTGTACGTGGAAAAAGGGGATCTCGGAACGATATTTATATTTTAGTTTTTTCTCTCTCGTTTTTTTTTATGTCGGATATAGAATTGATTTTTAAATACTTGTGCATATTTTCTGGACCATATGTAAGTGTATCGAAAGCTTTAATTATGGTTGTTCAATGAATCAAAATTGATTTTATGTTGGTGCTTCGCTTCAGTTTTTCTGTTTATCATATTATTACTAATATATTGTAAGATATAAAGTTACAATGCTCTAATATTGTAAATACAAAGAAAATACGGGGGAAAAAACCACGACCACCTCTATGTTTTACTAGGCACCGTGAAAAAAATCCTATTGTCTTCGGCTACCGCACTATTATATTCATAGGTGATGACGAGGGTTCCTAGGGGTCGGATGACCCCCAAATTATTTTTAGGAACCCTTAACAATTTTGGAAATGAGGACCTTTTTTTTGCTCTTCACTTTTTTTGGCCGAGAAAATTCTTCCGATTTGCTAGGGATTTTCACCTCAAAAAGTGACTCCCAAAAAAAAACGATTTTATCCTTTTTTCGTACAAATTGGTGACCTCGTCAGGACCCCTCTTTTTTTGCCTTCCCCCCCCCCCCCCTAAATTTTTTTACGTCATCATCTATGATTATATTATCTTGCACCTGTTGTTGATATTGACTACGCAAATATCACTGCGATCAAGAAAAAAAAACGCTAGCTATCTTTATTTTCTAAAAATGGTCTATTTTTTATGAAAAACTACGAGTTCTTGTTGCTGTTTGTCTATGTAGAAAAAACAATTATATCTTTTTTTTTTATCGATGAAATGGATAATTGAATTGGCTTTGTAAGTGTGATACTATGTTGATTAGCGTAAGCATCAAAATGTTATTCGTTATATGAGAGTGTTTATGGTTTTTGGAATTTCGTTAAGCGTTTCGCGTGAAGAAATGGAGTTTTTTTTTAAATGGACCTCTCTCGGATTCCGTCTTGCTTGTCTCGTTCATGTGTATACCATACGAATGTTGTCCGATGTGCCTGTGAATATGAATGAGTGTTCTCGTTGTGTTTCGAAAAGTGTATCCGTCATCACCAAATCAGTTTAGGGCATCTTTTTCGGCACTCGACGCTTCTTAAATCCGCCCATTTGTCTTAATAATTGCGAATTTTCATCATCACCATCAATATTATGTGGATCCCATAAACGCAAACGCTTTGGTATATAAATAAGGCCAATCAATGTGATTGCTATGAGAGAGAAAAAAGGAGATAAATGGGAAAATATTCATTTTTCAAACATTTTTTTATTTGTATGGCCTCCTTTCCTCAATATGATTGCGTGCAAATGCAAAAAGACAATAAAAACTTACAATTAAGTACACATGGGAATATTACGTAAAATGTTAATGTGCTCGATCGGAAATACAACGCTTCCGTTAAGTACAAAACCATTGTAAGTGCTAATGAACAACCTCCCATACTCACAACGCTGTATCATGATATATGCAAATATGAATTGTAACACCATCGATATCAATTTTCCCCCGAAGCGTCAACATGCAAATCAAATGCAAAAGAAGAGAAAGAAAAAAAGAGAACAGAACCACATTCATTTATAAATATAAAAGAGCAAACAATCCTTACAAACAAGATAGCATGTAAATATAAAATAAAATTAATGAAACAAACAAATCGATGTGACATGTGTCAATGTATGCGAAACACGGATGGTAAACGGGTACAATTTCCTGTTGACTTTTAATTCGAATCCATTTTCAGGAACATTATCTTTATTGAAATTGTATCATGGATTCGATTCGGTTTCGAGCGGCCGTATGTGTGTGTCGCGAACATTTACATGACCAAACGGACATCATTATTTTTAAGAAACACTTACGGCTTGTAGTGGATGTATAATGTACAATGAACTAAGGCAAACGCTTTTAAAATGCAGTACATTCCGATTATGCGTGATATTGTGTAGTCACCTGTGAAAAAGAGAAACAAAAAATCGTTATTATCATTTGTTTATACACTGCGATTGTCTCGCATCAACACAAAAGTGTGGCGAAAATTCTTTGGAAAGCATGAAAAAGTCGTAAATTCACGTCGTACATATGGTATTTTATTGACATACATGAAAATGATTCTATAAATGGGTTTCCTTCGAGAGGAAAAAAAACAAACTCGTTAACACTGGCGTTGACCGGAAGCAAAAATTGTAAACTGCCAATAAAGTTGGATGCGATCGCAAATAACAATGTATATATAAAGTCTTTATTATATCGGGTGGCACATTTTTTTTTTGCCCAATTTCGAAAATGTGGGAAATGAAAATAATTCCATCGAGCTGTATAATGTGATATTGTTATAAAAATTATGATAATGTTGCATTTTCAGTTCACATTTTGTTATCAAATTTTCCAAATAAAAAAATTCCACTTTATTTCGGCTTCCAGCACCATGAAAAGAATGTGAACTAAATCTGAAGCATATTGTGTGACCGCCTCCTTTTTTTTACCAAGCAAACACTGCTGCATAAATCTAATTTGAACTTTGATTATCTCTCCCTCTCCCACTCACTTTCTCTCAATTAAACTTTTGACCGATAATATCATCCGAGTTTGTGGCACTGCAAATATGTAACATGAATGTAGTATATTAGCGTGTATGATGGGAAAAACGGCGTTGATGATTGCACAAAGTTTTCCATAATGCACTTATGCATTAGTTTTAACAAGTTCAACATGATTTTAAATTGCATTCGACGTGAACATTTTTATATGTATGTGGATGTTCGACAAACAAACGTGAAAAAAACACACACCGGCTGGGCACAAGTCTTGTGGATAAATACTGTAGTTCCAGCGCGAAAATAAATGTGATGGGAAAATTGAGAATGGAAATAAATTTGGCACTCATATTTCAATATAAAAGTCTAGCACAAACGAACTAGTTGAACTGCAACATTGACAATGAATGCGGAATACCATATTTCTTTTTTCCTCATGATATATGTTCGACTTCTGACAAATTCCGGCGACTTATGACATTCAAATGGTAATCGAACATTGAACAAATGAACGAGCGTAATGAATTCATATGGGAAAACATTTGGGCATTATTTTTTTGAATAAATAAAATGGGTTGCACCAATTGAAGGATTGGCAGTTGCAATCGATAAAAACGAACTCTAACAAATGATAAAACGGTGAAGAAATGAATAATTTATTTTTCCTGTAATTTAAAACTTACCAGCAATATATTGTGAGTCGGATGGATCGCCCAAAAAGCTGCGTTTTTCGATATAACTACGAAATGCTGTGCCCAAATCCATGAATGCCACGAATGCGATCCATCCTCGAAAGGCATATAACAATTTACGTTCCATTATGTCAAAATGTGTGCTGTTTCGTGCCTCGCTTCGTGATCGGATAGAATTATGTTTTCGTGTTGCTAATGCCGCATTAGCTTGACTATTATGAGTTTATTGTCGCCAATCAGTAGCCGAACAAACAAAAATCGTTGATGTGTTTGCCTAAAATTAAACAACAGAAAATGACAATGAATAAATATTGATTGATGGACTATATACACTACTAAACACATTGGTAGATGTGACAACATGATATCATCATATGGCCTCTTTATTTATTTCGAAAAAGAAGAAGAAGGAAAAAAACGCGCACATTTTTCGAATGCATCAACATCATCGGCGTCGCTCATAAACAATTGGCGTCCCACTGTTGTCATTGAACCATTTGTCGTCATCCAAATCAATCATTTATTGACATTACCAATTCACTTCACTAATGACAAAGTGACCATAGCGCGACAAATTAGCATTCATTTTTATTACATATTAATTTGATCTAACAATGGCACATCACACTCGAATGCCAAAGAAAAATGAATTGTGTGTGTGTGTGTGTATGGGCCATAAATTCATTTGGCATATTCGCATCATAATTTACTGAACATAAAGTGCATTTTATTGCTACCGTATGGAGAATCACGATGAAAATAACACCGAGCGTTGATTACAGCAATCGCATGCACTGTACATGCACACACACATATGTCAAAAGAAAGGAAGTGAGAAAGGGCGAGTACATAGCGTAAAGCCTAATTTAAATTTTGGTGCAACTATCCATATCTTTTTTGGAGCGCATTCAATGGTGAACATCATCTCATGGGAGCATATTTGTTGGACGTGTCCAATAGAAATGAACATCGCATGGAGTCGATGTTCGGAGTTTGGAAAATTCAGCCAAAAACAAGTAGAAATTCAAAAGAGAGGCGAACAAAAGCCGTAACATGTTACAATTTCTTGGATCGAATCCAACAGGCAATCTTTTTATGATTACGGGTTTATTGAGTAACAAACGAATGGTATATACAATTGTACAATAGTATAGTTCACAGTTTTTTTTTCTCTGTTCGGTTTTCTCTTCAACAAATATCCATTTTAACATTTACGAACCAGATTAGCTTTTAACGCATTCAATACTGTTGTTTGCAGTCATGACGATGACCCTCACACAGTTCAATGTACACCCATGTGACAATGTTTTGACGTTTTTCGATACCGAAGAAATGTCCGTGCACCATGAACGACCAAAGTTGCCAACGTACGGTTGCATCTTCTAGAAGCATCAAATTCAATTTGCTAATTTGTCGAAATGGCTAACCACTCTATATCGTCTGCTGACCTGATTTGTGGTTTCACTCTAAAATTGCTTTCATTATACGTCAAACCAATATCCGTACACTATAATGTACAATAAATTGAATCATTCGATGGGTCCTATATATTATCCATTGCAATGAACCCTTTTTGGAGCTTCATTGAAAAAAGGGAAGTCGATTTTATTACATCTTACATAGTTTCATTCAATTCATTTTTCCGAATTTCGATTTTTCTTTTTCAACAACACCACCAGGAGGACAACGACGACGACAAAGAAAAAACGCCATTCAGGACAATGTCTGTCTTTCGTTCTCTTTGTTTGCATTGGATTTTTGGTCAAACTTTTTAACCAGAAATTGAATTTTACGATATCCTATATACAAGACTAAAATATTTTAAATCAGTATGCATTGATTCAAATGCAAATGTTCATTCACTGTATTCGCACGCACGAAACTTTATCAAATGCAAATACATGCACACAATTGTATCGGGTACAATATCTTTACACATCTTTCCATAAATCCATTCTCTGTGTTTCTTCGGTTAAGCCATACCAAATGGATGTTCGGGATTGTTCTTCTATATATATCTATATTTTTTATTATTTGAATACGCCACTTTTCAATTCGCGAGTAAAACGGAAACGATGTGTGATAAAATATTTTAAATTCCATTGTGGTGTGCATCTCATGCCGCCTCCAGCCTTGCACAATTCCGAATTCATTTTGTTATCAATCATTGCAACGATATACAATTTTAATACTCGAAAATTATTATCGCACATTCAACACTTGCTGCTCGGCTCACGTCACCGCACTTAATCTAATTTATCGTGTATTCGGCGGTGTATGAGTTTGTGTGTGTGTGTTTGTGATATGCCTATGGATGTTATAATTAAATCTTTTATTCATCCATTGTGAAAGCATCAGCAATGTGTCGCCGCATTGGTAAGATCACACAGATTCATCGCTGAACGAACAAATGAATGAGCGAACGGCAATCAGCCAATTCCTTTATATTCACCCGCCCATTCAGTTCGATAAATTTTGCATTCATTCCACCCATATTCTGCCGGTGGTGGTGGTGGTGGCGGCAAAAACACTGAATTCGCTGATGGCAGTTTATTAAATTCTTATTCAATGACAGAAATATATATACTGTTTAATTTATGGTTTGAATATTTTCATTAGATGCACGAGCGCGCATAATCTTAAGATGTGAAAATTATGTAAAATAGAGAAGCAAACGATCCCCAAATGACTGTGTGAATGATATTGATTATAACAATGTGAAAATATGCAGATGGCAGAGATTACACTCGTACCACCTTCGGGAACCAAACCAAATGAAAATTGCATGAAAATTAAAATTGCGAGAGGCGCGACAGTGCAATCATTTGTGATTAAATCACACGAATACCCGATACCCAATGTCTTATGGCTGTTATCGCTGGCAACATCATCAGCCTCCACTATCGTTATTTTGTCGTTGACAATGATTACCCTCAGAGAAGCAAATGGATAGTAATGAGATTTGCATACAGTATATATCATTTTGATTATTTTGTTCTGGTGTGTCGTTCGTTCAACGTATTTTTTTACTTCTTCTTCATTTCTTGTTGTTCCATTTTTATCTTCTTCAGTGTCACTTGATTGGAGACGTCTCATTTGATAGAGTGCCATGTGTATGTGTTTCATTGTGTGGCCAGCTAACTGCAATTCAGCACATCATGTAATGGGGAATGAAGCAGAAAAGAAATTTCCGAACATCAAATGAACATGTAAGTGGTTCATTGTAGAATTTCTTGCCTGAAGTATAGGGGATAGGGTGAAAGTATACATGCACACTCACAAAAAAAAAAAACACGAATTGCTTAATGCTTGGAGATAAAGAGTGGAAAAAACAACCATTGAATAGCGTTCATTGAACCTTTAGCAGTAACTGGACTCGTGTAAAGTGATTTTCTTCTCTATTTTTTTTTTTTCTGAAGAAAATATCGTCTACAAGGTATAAACAGGATAGAATTTCATAAGATTGTTTCGGCTTAATATGAAAAGGAATACCTGATATAATCAATAGCCAGTTACACCAGTTTGTCGGCGATCAATTTACAGCCTTGTCAAAATGTACCAATTCTGGCTGTGATTAATCAACGCGAATGTAGAAAAAAAGGTGATCAATATTTCATGTGAAATTCCGTGAAAGAAAAAGAAATATTGTGGTTTTTATCAGGAAACCACTAAAATGTTTCCGGTATTGCTTGCTCATTGAGAGGCACGAACAAGGAATAAGCGACCGACACAAGACACCGTGCACAACTTTATAAAATAGACCAGTTTTTTTGTGAATTGGTTACAAACGCTGCTAACAAAGTACTGATTTTCCAGTAAATGAATGAACCATCGATATACATATATGTGTGTGTATGACTGTGTGTTGTTATGAAAATGCCGCATTATGCTAAGTTTACACATATTTTTTTTTCTTTTTCGTCTTTTCGCTAGGTCTTCTTGTGCCGTTGTTATTGTGCGCTTTTCATTTTCAACACATCTCTTGCATTATTCGCATGTGCTTTCTTCTTTTTGTTTAACACTCCGAGCACGCTTATGCATCGACCAATATCGTATACATATCGTGGTTCTATCGAAATCTTACTTTTGGCTCATGATTTATGAGGCTTTTTTTACTGCTACATACACATATATGCACCGAGAAAATGCGGAGATTTTCTCTCTTTTTTCGTCGCTTTCTATTTAGAAATCTATGTTCGTCTGGAATTCTAAAATAAGATTACTGTGCATTTCTGCTTTCATTACATTGTTCTAATAAAAAAATTCACCGATTGCAAACGAGCCTTTCCTCCTCCCTCTCGGAAGTGTGTTAAAAATTTATTTACAAACTGAAAAAAGTTTTACCCATTTAAAACTGAGCATATATACAAAGTCATAAAGAGAAATATTAAGTGAATTCTATGTATTTTATACCATTTGAGTGGTACAAAATGCCACAAAATGAGTGTGAATAAACATAAAATGAAAATAAACTGAATTATACATTACAATTGAATAAAAAAATGTGAGAATATTTTCTATTTATAGTTTGATCCGTTTAAAATTACTTGCCTATTGGGTCAAATGTTCGGGCAGCCAGAAATTTGTGCTGTGTATGTCAGGGAGAACCACTGCCAGTAACCGCCAGCCGAATAAAAAAAACCAACCAACAACGACTAAATGCACAACAGCCACAAATATGAGAACAATAATTCGCCGCTTCAATTGAATACGTGTGTGTGTGTGTGCGTGTGTTTTGTGATAACCGCACCGTTTTTTATTGAAGTATGCAAATGAACTATATAGTTTTCTCGAATCCTCTATTTAATTGTGCCGATTGGCTTTACATGCCGCTCTGCATATTCAATTCACACAAGTAAGCAAGCACACACACACCACATCTATACAATGAAGTAGTCTCATCGCTGGTTGGCGCTCTGTTTACACGATTACAACAAGCAATTGCGAATTTCAATTGCGGAAGGAAAATCGAGGCGGTTTAAATGCAACCAACGCGTATTATAAAACGAATTTCATTTATTGCTCATTTATGAGCAACGAAATGAAGACAACAACGAACAAAAAAATGGTATAAATAGTAATAACGAAACGACGACGTCGATAACGACAACAACATCAACAACAATAAAATAACAACACCACCAAATTCGTGGCTGAATTTAGGAATTCCCCTTCGCAAACAATAGTAGCGTGGTCACCATGAAAACAAGCGAACAATGCACACACCACCACCACGCGACTATGCACTTTTTTATTTGGCTGTATGTATTGCCGATTTTTTAATTCGAATAAGAAAAAAGAACGATTATTATCACATATAGAAAAGTATCATAGAATTATACTTTAATTCCAATTGCAAATAAAAACAAATGATTTATGAAACGAAATGAAATGTTTTGCTCTCGGGCTGTTAGTCGGAAAAGTTTTTTGTTGTTGTTATTATTAATGATGATATTTTTGACTTATTCGATTCAAGTTGACAACCAAAAACAAATTCAACAAAACCAACAACGTTCAATCAATTTACGAAAAAATGTTTTTTCGATAACAATTGTTCGAATTAAATGAATGAAAAGAAAAGATTATAAATTTGTGATGTATGTTGCGGTTTTTTTTTATTCGTCGTGTATTTCGTGCGATATGTCTACGTTTAGAATAGTGACACAACTGATTGTGTGCTTCACCGTCAGCACATAGAGAGACACAAAAAAAATTCATGGCATCGCGACGCGTCGACGCACAATCTATCTCGGCATATTTACAACATCAATTTGGCTCTGTCGCGCAAACACACCACAAGCACTTGCTAGAGCGAATACAAATGATTCCAATGAAAATATACCCCGTGTGGCACTGCATTGTTTTCTATATTTATATAGGCATGCGACAGTTAATGCTGCAATGGAAAATGAAACGAAAAGAGACAGCCTCTTTCATTGGATTTTACATTGCGGACGCAACAGTATCAATCGTACATCAAATCAATGTGTACACAAGTCAATTCTATTTAAATTCATCATTTCACACAATATTATATGACTGTTGCAAGAAAAAAATCATTATATGCGACTTTCAAACGATTCCGCTTAAAATACGCTTTGAGGAAAAAAGTAGCGTTGAATATAAAATCGTTATTACTTCCGACCATTCAATTACCAATATACCGGTTAAATACACCTCAAACACTTACGAGGCGTACAAACAAAATAAAGGACATTAAGAAGAAGAAAGAAGGAAAAAGCAACAGAAAAGCAACATGTTTCTCATTAAAAAACACATAACTGATCGTCAAAGCTTTCAAATAGGTTTTACATTTTCCACTTAAGCTGTAAAATTGCATGCAATTATTTAACACAAGCCCAATCATAACTCAAAGAGAAAAAATCAAGCAGAAAACTTTCATTTCTTATCTATCACGCGATCACAATCGGTTGAGAGAGCAATTTCCTTTACGTTTTTACACCATTGATTGAACCTGGTTCATTCATTTTCACTCACTATTATTATTTTGATAATGCAATTTGAAAAATAATCAGCACCATAATTTATATTTGGCGACGATTTTGAGGAACACATTTTTTTACTTTTGGTTTACCACAGCAAGCATATTCACAATGTGACTTTACTGTTTTTAGCGATATTGGTGGATCGGTATAATTGTTGTTGTATATGAGTGAGAGTGTAAATTATACATGGGCACAGAGGGGTGTAGGTCCTGATAACCCACCTTAAATCATACGTCCTCACCAGGGGTCCACGAAGTGTCCTATTACCCCTCCCCCTGATGAAGTATTACCCCTCAAAATGTTTCAAAGAATCTTTTAATTTGCTAAGGGTTTTTGGCCCTTTTTTGCTCAACAAATTTTTCCGATTTCCAGGGTTTTTGGCGAAAAATTCTTTCGATTTGCTAGGGATTCTCGCAAAAAAAGGGAAGAGCAAAAAAACGAAAAAAGTAAACTTTACACTAAATACAATTTTGCTGTTTTGCTCTAGATTTTTTTTTTTTTTTTCAATTAAGAAAGAATTTGATCAAAGTCAACTGTTATAAATTTTCAATGCAGAGGAATATGACGCAAATGCAAATTATTTCATTCTTTTCGCATGATACTCGCATGAGATTTCATTTGAACAAATGTTTTCTATGAATGCGTCGATTTAAGATTTTTCAAATGGTCAACGTTTTTTATGTCTGTCCTTCAGACATGGAGAAAAACAAAAACTGTATTCATATTCATGTAAATTATACTAATCAATAAGAGTCTATATGTGATTTGCGAGTCCCCTTATGATTTTCGAGTCAGTAAAAAGTCTCAATGACAGGTTTTAAGCGAATGTCAAATCGTAACAATTTGTTGAAAGAAAAATTCTTATTCAGAACATTACATCGAAATAGTAAATAAATATTTTATTTTTTTTATCATCATTTTTTAATAATGTGATTTGTCTAATTGCAAAGGCACAAGAAAATATGTTGAAGTGTTGAAATACCAAAAATTATTCAAACATTTTTGCGGGAAATGGGATTTGGTTTCCGAACTAGTTTAACTCTTATTAACACAGAAAGTGTCGCTGAAATTGAAGAATATGTAATCGAAAATCGTGAAATAATAGCTATATCAAGCTATGAAAATAAATATTCCGCCAAATATTTGCCCGGACATTGGAGACCTATACAAAACATGCCAAATTATATGAATCAACTAAAAAAACTGTGAATCAAACATTGAACAGAAAATGAATTTGTCACGATTTACGTATTTATTAAAATGCTTCCTGGAAACCGCCCAATCGCATGTAAATTTGAGTGCTAATGCCGGAAGAGTGAAGACATCCAATCATTTTTATGAAAAATGATGAGTGAAGAGTATTTTTAGAAGAAATTGGCTTCTAATTTGCCGATCCCAAAACCCAGCACAGTGCGTAAGTTCTATAAATCAGCTAATAATTCGTTCGCAATTTTTACTTTTCCGCACACACCTAGTGTGTAAGGTAAAGTATTGGAATCGGTCGAAAAATTAACAACCATCAAAAATGTGTTTTCTGGGTGTTTTTGGGGCCAGGGAACACGAATCTAGCGTTTTTTCGATGTCCGAATGTATGTGCGTACCCTGTACCCTGTACGCAAAAATTTGTTAACACGATAACTTTCAAACAAGAAAAGTAATTCAAAATCTGACTTCAAAGGATGATTGGGGGTGCCGAGGAATAGAAACCATTAGATTTTGAGCGAATTTTCTTCCAAAAGTGATATTTAATGTATTCTTAAACACTCAAAAATATGTATTGGGGGTTTTTGGGTACGAGAAAACCGTATGACGTTAGTTTTGCGATACAATAATATTTCGACACACTTTTCATACAAAAATTTGAAAAACATTGGATTTTTTTATGGAAGCCATGCCTGTATGATATCGTAATGAGCTGAAACTTTGCACAGGTTATTTTTTTCACTCTAAAATAACATTCCGAGGGTTTGAAGAGATTTCAATGCATAATAGAGATACCTCCCGAACAAAATTTTGGATTTTTTGCTCAAAAACGAAAATTTTGAATGGCTGGTACCACTCTATTGTATTGAAATTTCTTCAAACTTTCAGAATGTTAGCTTTTTGTGAAAAAAATAACATCTGCAAATTTTCACATGATTACAATATCATACAGGCATTGAAAAGTCCAACAAAAATTATTTGTATCGCCAAACTTACATCAGATTCAGTTTTCTCATGAATTCATATTTACGGCAAAAGATACGTAATAAATGCATGTTGTGGATCACAGTGCGGAAAAGTTCATCTTACGGATGTAAGACATTTTAATTTAATATCAAACAGAAAGAAATTTGAACAATAATTGCTTTGAAACAGTGGAAATTGCAGATAGAATTAATATGATTCCTTTGGATGCTAGAAAAATTATATGTCTTCGATTAAACGTTGATGATATTTGAAATTGACATTAATGATTGACTCGTGACTCGCTCTATGGCCATATATTTTGTGTGCTTTGTGTATGAAATGACTCGTGTATGAAATTTTCACGAGTCAGCACTGACTCGAGTCAGTCATAAGCCCCTTGTTTTGGATCAGAAATGTCAACACAGGAGGCTTCTATGCGAACGATTTATTACCTGTTTCTAGACAAAAGGTGTTTAATTTATCGCCAATTTTTCTCACGGAGAGACGAATCATTCTTGATTTTAGGTACATAAGCCACAGCGTAACTGAGCTAATTTATTCAGTTCAATTTCGATCGCATTGTAGCTACGATCTTCATTAAAATAAAAATTATAAAGA